CTTCCTCTGCTCTGACTTGGGAGGGAAATGGGAATTAAACAGGTGAAGTTCCTCCTATTCAAGAATTTAGCTGTATTTTGTGGCAATAAGGATCCAGGTAACTCAGATTTCTCTTGTGTTTGACATTAGAAACTCTGAGCAAGCATTTTCTGTGGAGCTTTTCACTGGAGTCAGGAAGTTCCAATAGAATAAAAGAGTCAGAACTGTTGGAATAACAAAATTCAACGTGGCCAAAATCAGGAATTTTATCTACAGATCCATGGAGGAGGAGGACATCAGAAACACACTCCAGCTCAAAGCAATGATTTATTGGAAATGGCAGTAAATCAAACGGACAGTCTCTGGTTATGGTCAAGCAATTATCCAGGAGTCAGAGAGGAAAAGGGGAATCTCGGACTGGGATAAGGCCTTCCAGTGGCTTTGCTTCCTAGTGGCTCTCTCCTTTTTTGCCAACTACCTGGAAGAGGGGAAAAAAAAATAGGAATAATGTTTCGTACCCCCTGGGCAGGACTTTTTTGGTTTGGGTAAATCCAAGTGCAACTCAATCCCCAGGGAGCGAATCCAGGAGCGTGCGTTCCCGGAGGGATGGGAATCCTTCCCAGGCTTAGGAGGGATGGGGAACACACACAAACCCTTCTGTTTAGTGTTGAACACAGCAAGGCTCTTTTGGGAGGAGTTAGGAGACGGGAACTGCGAGAGAACACTCCAAAATCCAGGTTACATGTCAAGCATTAAACCTTAACACTCCATCAAAAATTCAAGTGGGGAAAAAAGCCCTGGATGCTCAATTTGAGGCTGCTCCTTTCCTCGGCATCCTTTCCATGGGCTTCCCCGAAAATACTGACCTTGTAATGCAGCTCAAACCTGTACAACAATCCAGGAACTCACAGGTATTCCAAAAAAAACCCAGCCCCCTCAGCCCTGAATCCTTGGACCCACTGGAAGCATTTTTCCTCCTCCTTCCCCTTTTTAATTCCTTGTCAAACTGCAACAGGGAGGAATTCTCTCCCATTTTCACCTCAAGGAATCCCTAATCAGGAGCATTTCCAACTGGAAATTCAACCTAATGCTCAAAGGCGGGAAAATTCCAACCTGGCAATGTGAGGGAAGAAGAACAAAATCAGATGAAGTGAATTCATCCAGTTAAAAAAATACAGTTAAACTTATCATGGAGCAAAATCTATCCCTGCTGTGCTTCCAAACTGTGTCCACACACAGATTAGGCAAAGAAATCAGGAAAAGAAAAAGGAAAACCAGAGTTAAAAGATTAGGGATTAGGTGTTAGGAAGTATGGAATACCAACAAAAATGTTCGATACCAGTCGGAGTCAGAGAGGGACAAGTGGCCCATGTGAATTATCTGGAAAACCCAGCACATGGATATGGATATTTTGGCATCTCAGCTCAAACCCCACCTGTTTTCTGCCCATCCCACCCCACAGTCCCACAGGAAATGTTCATTAAACCCATAGGTAGGAGGGTTTAATTCCATTTGCCTTCCTTTCCATTAAGATATTACAAAGGAGCCCTGGCACAGCATCTCCTGCAGCCCCACAAAATTCTGGGAAAGGACGCTTTGGTGTGACCTTAAAATGGCAAGTTCAGGGCAAAACCGGGGCAGAATTTGGGCAAGTGAAGTGTTTAAGGAATGATTTGGAGCAGGGAGAGGAGGGGGAAGCTGAGCTGGTGAGGTGGGATGTGGAGAAGGTGCTGGGATTGTGGGAAGGGCAGGAGCTGAGCAGAGGGAGGCAGGGAAGGAGTGCGAGGCCACACCAATCCCATTATTACTTTTTAGTTTCTTCTGCCCTTTTAGTTCTTTGGGAATGGGGAGTTAAGCTGGAAAACAAACAGAAGGAGCGTTACAAGAACCAAAGCAGCAGCAAAAGGTGTAAAAACGTGTAGTGCAAACAGGCAGGTCTGAGGAGGACCACGGAATTTACTCCAGAGGGGACAAAACATATCCCCCACCCTGTCAGTATTTATCTGTGGCTCTTCCCACTACTCTCCATGGGCCTAAGCAGCAACTTCCTCCCTGGTGTCCCTATTTTCCATCGCTCTAAAAGACTTCCCTCCTCCCCAAACTCCACGTTCAGGAAGGAAAACAGGGCTGATATATGTAGTGTTGATGAGGATCTGGCTGGGACAGATCAGCCAGTTCATAACCCAGCCCTGCTTCTCCATTTGTGAGCACTCCTTTCCCATCCTGACCTGCCCAGCACAATTCCAGGAGTACTGTGTCCACAGACATGTTCTCCTTTCCAATTTCAAAAGCCACAGAAACCAACAAAGCAACTCCCAGATTTGTAGCTTGGGAAGAATGAGGAAGGCCTGCAATCTGGATTAAGTGAATTTTAGTCTATTAGAACAACTTTTTAATGACTTTGAGTTGCAGTGAAAGGCAGCAAAGCCTGTTAAACCTTTTTATTAACTTATTACCTGCAAAGAAATCCAGTTTTATGTTAAGGTCAGATTTTGCTGTTATAAATTCAGTGGGTGCCACGTTGGTGTTAGTGCTTTAACCTTCTGAAATTAAAGTTTATTTGTAACATTGGTTGTGGTGCTCTCAGTGTTATTGTCACCTCCACGGGAGTTTGCAGCAGCATTTTTCAAAGGCTGCTAATTTTTAAAGGAGTATATTTTAAAATAAGACCCTTTATGTTAAAGGTTCAAAAAAGGGAGTCCCCAAACCAAGATATAAATCTCAGCTGTTAAAAAATAACACTGCTGTTGGTGTTTAGAACTTGCCAGCCCCTCAAATTTTCACCTTTACATTCTTACCACTGATTCTCACAAAGTGAATGACCAAAACCTTGTAAGAAGTGGGTTTAGGAATAGGACTCACTCGTTTGAAGTCGTTCATGTTCGTGGCTTGCACTGGAGTGCCAATAAATGTGAAATATGTGATTCGTGTTGTCTCTTCATCACCATGATTGGACTGGACAAACAACTGAACAGGAAAGAAAGACCAAAAAAAAAAAGGGAGTTAAACTCTCCATCTCTCACTTAATATATAAAACATGGGGTGCTTGAGAAAATTAACCGAATTAACACTTTTTTCCCAATTATAAAGGTCTCTAACACTTAGATGAGCTCCTGTCCTCCTAATTTAAATAATTATATATAGAATGCTCATGTCTTCCTGGTAGTTTGTCAAAACCCCACCCAGCTGGGATTTTCCCAGCTTCCACTTCCCTGCCCTGAGGCCACAATGAGGAAGCAAAACTGGATTCTAAGAAGTCCCAGCTCAGTAGAACAGAATCACTGAATCAGATGGGTTGGAATGGACCTCTGAGATCATCAAGTCCAACCCTTTTCAGTATTCACTGGAATGAACATCCATGTCATGCTGTTTGGGCAGCCCCCGAGTTACTCCAGGGGAATTTCCCCCTCCAGGGTGCAGAAGGCCGTGGTTTCCAGCCTGTGCTCAGCCCTTGGAGAAGGGGACTCACAGTGACACTGTTGACATTCTGGAATTTGACGTAGCGGAGCTGGATGATCCCATCCTCCTTGATGTCCTCTGGGCCCAGCTCCAGGGCCTGGGTGGGTTCGCTGCGTTCCGCCTCCTCGAAGTCCATCGAGCGTGGCAGGTTGATGAAGATCTTGATGTATTTTGGCCCTTGCCCTGGGTTAAAAGAGAGGGGTGGGATTCCATTTGGATATTATATCCCAAAATTACACCTAATTATGAATTTGACGTGATTTCATAATGTAAACTGAGTTACTATAAAAAAGGTTCACATTTCAGTTGCTCTCACCTTAATCCTCGAGTTAAATCCATGAGTCTCTTTGCAGTGCATCAAACATTAATACTTATATTTGTGTACTAAACATCCCAAATACTTATATTTGTGTATAAAACTATAGTAATTACACTTGCATATAAAAGTATGACAATTCCTTATATTTGTCCCACATCCAACACCCAGACCCTTCACTCACCATTGTCTGGCCCCTGAAGTTTCATCGAGTAAAGCTTGACAGGCTGACTAAAAGCGACAGTGATAAGCAGCTGCGGAGGGAAACAAACCAAAAAACCCCGTATTAAACACTGTTTTCTTCACTTAAACACCAACTTACTTGGCACAAGAAATAGGGATAAGGGAGCCCTGCAGTAAAACCATGCAGACACCTCCCTCTACCCACACGCTTTAAATACCAGCCAGCGCTTTTCCGACCGGGATTCTGGCGGTGTGCGAAGCTGCAATGAGCTCTGTATCCCGGTTTTTTTGCACCCCCCTGCAATGCCAGGATAACCCCCGTGCCCCGTCGCCCTGATGTGCCCCCGTGCCGCACCTGCTCGTCGCAGTCGGACTCCAGGTAGGAGGGGTCTTTGCGCAGGCAGTTCTCGAAGCCGTGCTCGTCGCTCTCGTTGAGGCACTCGCACCCGGCCTTGTTGATGAACGGCAGCAAATCCATCTGGGAACACAGGCAACAGCGTGCTGAGAGCGGGCCGGGGGCTCGGGAAGCTGCTCAGCCCCGGGATGGAAGTCCCACCCGGCGCAGGGGTTGCACAAACACAAAACACGGGGATTACAGGTGGGACTCATCCCTTAAATCCTGCATCCCTGGAGCCACCTACCATCCCAAGAACCAGGAACTTGCCACAGGGAGAACTTCCAAATACATTTGTGCTGAACAAGAGCACAAGTCACACACAGGCATTGGCCTGGAGTTAGAATCAATTTAATTAAAACCCATCCCAGCTTAGTCTTACGTTCCCAGCTCTGCATGCTCCAAGCCACTTAAAAGGGGGGGGTATTGCTTAACTATCAATAATGTAATTATTTGTGATAAACATAAAATTAATTATTTTAATGACTAAAGAGAATTTTCATGCTTATTAAATGTGTGCATGTCAATATTTAATTTTTTTCTGGAAAAAGAAACTCAGATAAGTGATTTTCTGAGGCAGCTTTGCCTAAAATCCTATTATTTGATCTGGAGGGTGCTTAAAAAACAAAGACTTTTTAGTATCCAGGCATTCCAACAAAACTCCTGGGAGATACTCACGTATCCTTTGGGGATGTCTGTGTCCTCGCTGTTCCCAGGGTCGTTCTCCAGGTGCTGTTTGATTTTGTCCTCCAAGCCCACGGCATCTGCTCCCTGATATTGGTCGATCCGCACCTTGTTCCGGAAGAACAGGAACGTGGGGGTTGCGGAGATGTTGTTGGTGGCAGCTGTGCCCTGGGAGGCAGAAACCAGTCCCCGTTAATTGTCTGACTGACCCTTAAGTCAATCACCAGCTCACCTTCACCACTGTCTCACTAGTCCCACCAGTAACACTGATTTATTGCATTTCTGCTTTTTCCCCGCGATAATTACACCAATATTTGGCTGGAAGGACTCTTTTTAACTCACACTGATGCTAGATTCTATATGTAAAGTATTATCTTAATAATAATTAATAATACTTAATAACCCCTCAGCACGCTGATTAAACAAAGGACAGCACAGTGGGCACTGCCAGAAAACTTGGCTAAACAGTGAATTTCATAGTATGGTTATTTGTGATGCCCCAAACATGGCAACAGCCTCAGGACACCCCTCTTAGCATCAAGCCTGAAGGGTTTGATGTTGCCTTCAAACTCCCCATTCTCTGTTCTCTCTCTTCCAGCTAAAAGTGGTTTTTCTTTCATACCAACCTGGCATTGATGCACATCCACTTCCAAAAACGTGGCCTGCGGGTATTTGTTACTCAGGGCATTGAAGGCTGGAGCTATCCTTAAGCAAGGGCCACATCTGTGAAAAAAAAATACTTCCCTTTAATTCCACTTTAATTTTCTTTTTAAACGCCTGCCCCAAACGGAATCAGCACATTCCCACTCTTCCCGATATCCTGGTGCAAAAATAACCCCTCTACCTGGCTGCCAGCTGGTGATACAATTAAGGATGAGGAGTTAATTCCCAGCTTCCATGTCACGTGAGCGGTTTCACCTATTAATTAATACTAATTCATATCTGCAACTTAACTGCAGCATTTTCAACTGCTCAATAAAGTGATATGAAGGAGGGCAAAAGCAGAAAAAAACACTATTAATAGAAAAATCATACCACTGCTCCGCATCAATTCCCATGGAAAAATAGCATTTACATATGACTTAAATATTTAATGGTGGTAATGTATCAAAGCTTCAGGGATCGTGAAATGCTTACAACAATAAATCTCATTTATACCAGTAACTGGTTATCCCCATATTAATTTATGGGAATAACTGGTTACATTGTTATTTATATGGCCCTGTTTTCTGCTCATTTAACTCCATCACCTTGGCTGAAAATATGTCATTTTTTAATTATTCTGTGCCACCAAAAACATAGGAAGTGTCCAGCTGCAGCTATTCCTGCAGAGGGATATTCTCACAGGGAAAGAAGACATTAAAATCAAAACCGCTCAAATGTAGAAAATCAGCTAAAAAAAAACCCGAATTCAGCAGCAGCAACCAGACAATAACGAGGTGCACTCTGAAGCCCCAAACCCCCTGGGATTATCACTATTCACAGATTAATGTGAACAATTCAATCGCTGAGGTTTCTTTGGTCACAAATTCATCCAGATCTCACCGCAGTTGTACCTCAAATCCCTGCTGAGGAGGAAAAGAATGTCTACCTTTCCTCGGCAAACAGCGCGAGGATACAGTGAAGTTTTGTGAGGACAGATGTTTGGAGAAGTTTGGGATGTTTTATTGTTGTCTGTGCAGCCCCCTGACCCGGATCGGGGTTTTGGAGCAGCGCAGCGCCCGATCCTCCCGGATGCGAGGGCTGGCAGGGGAAGGGGGAGCGGGCTCGGCGGGAAAAGGAGGGTGTGCCGCAGGAACAGAACCACGGCGCTGATGCTGCGCCCACACCCGCATCTGTGCTACAGATCGCCGCGAAAAGCCCAGACGGGCCAGGAATAAATAACACAAACACGGGCAGAGCGGAGCGCGGGTGCGTGCCGGGCGGCTGAGGCGGCAGCGCGGGGCCGCCCTCACTCACCCCCTCATGGTGAACTTCACCACGGCCAGGCGGGAGCCGGCGGCGCTCAGCTCGGGCTGGAACTCGGTGTCGTTGGCGATCACCTTGACGCCCGCCATGGCCGCGGCGCGGGTGGCGGAGCGGCCCCGCTGGCAGCGCCGGAGCGATGTGCAGCGTCACGGCGGGCAGGGCGCCCGGCATGCACCGCTGGCGCGGGGCTGGCACGGCCACGGCCACGGGCGCAGGCGCGGCCGCTCCGCCCGACCACCGCCCTCCGCCGCCATCTTGGGAGGGCCGGGGCGGTGGCGCCGCCATCTTGGGCAGGGCACAGAGGGGCGGGCGGTGCCGCCGGGCGCCATTTTGGGTAGGGGCGCGGAGGCCCTTCGGCCATTTTGGGTGAGGGCAGAGCGGGAGCTGTGGGCGGGGAGTTCTGCCGACATATTAATTCTCGTAGTTTGCTATTCGCTACTTTTTTTTTTTTTTTTTCTTTGTGACGTTCCGGAGTGACGCTTCTCTTTTATAGGCGGAAATTATGTAATTTTTGGGTTTTTTTTTGGTTTTCTGATACTGGGTTTTTTTAATAGGGGCATAATAACGTTATTATTTCATAGAATTCATAGAATTTACCCGATAACATGTAAGTGTCACTTCCGGATGTCTCATAACGGCACTTTTCCTGCTGAAAACGACGAGCTCTGCTCCCAGCTCTTATAACTTGAAAGCCCTTCAGTAACCGTTAGATAAGTAATTAATTAAGTGAGTAATTCCCATCTCCCTGAAAGCGCCGAGCGCGGGCCGGCCGTTCCCGCGGTGACCCGGCTGCCGTGAGGCACGGCGGCCGCGCGGCGGCCGCGCTTTGCGGCAGTGCCGTAAGAGCCGGCGGTGTCAGCCGGCCGGGGCCGCGGCTCCGGGCCGGGCCAGCGGGACACGGAACAGGAGCCGGTAAGAGCGGGACAGCGGGGCACGGAGGGGGGCCGGGAGAACGGGGCCGCTATACCGGGAGGGGCCAGCCCAGCCCCCGGAGCGGAGCCTGCGGGGGCCTGTGGGGCCGGGGGTTCTGCGGCACCGGGCGGTACCGGAACGCGGGGACACCGGGAACGGCTTGCGCGGGAACCCGGGGACACGGAGACTCGGGTGTCCAGGTATCCAGGTGACTCGGGTACCCAGGTATCCAGGTGCCCGGGCAATGCAGCACCCAGGTACTCGGATGCCCAGAGCCCCGGGTATCCAGGTGCCCGAGCCCCCCGGTGCCTGAGTGCCCAGGGACCGGCTATCCAAGCGTCCAGGTGCCCAGGGACACGGTTCTCCAGGTATCCAGGGACACAGGTATCCAGGTGCCCAGTTCTCCAGGGATACAGTTCTCCAGGTGCCCACAGCCCCAGGGAGCAGCCCCATTACAGGGGCAGGATTGGACTCCGGATTTCAGCAAGCGTCACCCCAAAACAAGCCCCAGGTTCATCATGGATGGGGTCTCTGCCCCTGTTAGTGGAGCATGGCCTGAGGAAAGGCTGCTCACACGGAGTTAATGCTCTGTGGGGGCTGAAATTCCTTGTTGTGGCCTCGCAGCCTCTCTGTTTTATTGCCCTTTCCTGTGCCAGCCCTGTTGGCACCCAGGGGTAGGATTTGGGGTTATCCAGCTGCCGGGGATAACTGTCCTTCTGGACTGGTTTGGTGTGTCAGCACGTGAGGCACCAGGAGAACCTGGGAGCGGCTTCCAAGGGGTCAATTAACTGCAGTTTGGAGTCCCAGATTATTATTATCTTGTCCTCTGCCTTGCTTTGGAACCTGCTGCATATCCAGGGCAGTGTTTTAATTGTCTTCCCCACATTAGTCCTGTTTCTCTGTGCCTGAGTAATAAATAGAAAGTATAATTTGTAATTAAATTTAGAATAATCAGATTTTTAGAAAATGTGTAAACACCCATTTATAGCTGGTTTATACTATTTAATGCTATTTTGCAGTATTTTTTCCTAATGTTAATTCCTTATTTAATGACAATAAAAATGTTTGGGAAGAGCAGCTCTTGGCTGTTGCCCTGCTCTGGTGTGACAGTGGTGGATTTGCTTATGTTTTACCTCTTCCTCCCATAGATTTATTCTGTTTGGGGGATTTTCTGGCTGTAAAAATCTTTATTATGGGTTTCAGTGTAAACAACTTGGCTTGATAAAGGTGTTTAGGTGAGCCTTGGATTCAGCATTTCATATCTTGCACTTGAAAAATCAGTTTAATGGCTTTACTCAAATAGGGACTGATCCCAGACTATTAAATCTGCCTAAATCCCAGCCTTAAACAGAGCAGTTCAGAGAGTCACCAGATTGTTCTATCACATTAACACATTAAATAGCATACATGTGTAAAATAACAGCAACTCCTTGTTTCACTGTATTTTGGGGAAGATAACTGAAATCCTGGCACTTGTGGAAACAATAGAGACAAATTTACCAACCCAGTGGAGGCCGAGAAGTATTAACAGGAAGAACTTTGCTCGTGGCAGCTCCATTTTCCACTTGAAAGTTCCCTTTCCTGCAGAAATCGCTGCTTTCGGGAGTTATAAATAGCTGGGCTGTGGCAATTCATGTGGAATGACTCCCTGGCTGCTTTTTTGCCCATCTGGCAGCAGGACAGGCTTGATTTGCTCCCGTAGTTTGTCATCACTGATGTGAAAAAGGCAATTATTGATCTGCTTCAGACAAAAGGGGGGTTCTGGTGCTCGCAGGGGCTGCAGTCGGCGTTTGCCGGGGGCCGAGCTCTGTGCTCTGAATTCTTTGGGAATTAAGATGTGGTATTTCCTCAAAAGGAAGTTCTTTCTGAAGGCCTGGCGGCACCATAGGCAAACAGGAGAAGGGAAGAGGTAGTTCTTCTTTTTCCTCTCTCTCCCAAAGCCCCGAATTTAAATATCCTGGGGCTGTCAGGGGTTGGATTGTGTTTTCTCTGCATGGAAACTCTGGCATGGGTTAGTTGTGTGCCGTTTCGATACCTGAGATGTTCCTTTGGGAAATGCTGTCTGTTCTGAGTGGTGTGGATTTTGAGGTGTTCGTAAGGAGTTGGGGAGAGCTCTCAGTGCAGAATTCCGAGGAACAGTTTTGTGCCCCTGTAGGGGAGTGTTTTTGACAACCAGGTGACATGGGAATAGCGGGACTTGGTCCCTGAAGCAGGAGCAGTCGGACGTGGGAGGAATGGGAAGAGACTTTTCTGTTGCTCATTGGCATTTCTCAGCTCAGCTTTAGTCATTCATGGGCCATTTCCTAGCCAGAATTGGGTGCTAAGAGTTAAATGTGTATTTTTGTTTGCTTTGGGTGCTTTCGTTCTGGTTGTTGATGGTTACATTTTGTTCTATTGCATCTGGACACTTTATTTCTGGTTTTATTCCATTTTTATGATTATTTCACTGTAAATCAAGGGGGGGTTTTAATCGTGGCTCTATGTATGTTGCTGTATTCTTTAAAATTTTTAATTAATTCATTTTCCCCTGTTGTGATTGTCCAGACAGAACAATTGATCCAGCATTGCATAACAATTAACACTGCATGGACAGGTGGGGCTTGCAGTGTAGCAGGTTGCAATAGATTCCATTCTTGATTTGGGGTCTTTATTTGTAATTTTATTAAATTAAAGCTCTTAATTAAATAATTTTTAATTAATTTAGTCCAGTGGGCTGCAAGAAATGAGTTGCCTTATTCTGAAGTGGCATTTTATGTGACCATGCTGATTTTGTGCTGTGGATTTTGTGGAACAAACCCACGTTAACCCCTCACTGGAGTGCAGTGGGAGGCTCCAGGGAACTGTGTTTGTCATCCTTAGCTATTCATCACCCTGCTGCTCTCCCTTCCCTCCCCTTTTTCCATGGACACCACCGTGTTGGATTTCTATGGGGATGAGAAACTGCTTTCTGGGAGGAGAATGCACTCTGGGTTTGGTGTGGGTGAGGGGTGACAGGAATTTCTGTTGGAATCCAAACTGGAAGGATCCATGTTTATCTGTAATGAAAAGAGCGAGGAGGAGGCACGCATTTTAAAATATTTCTCCAGTGAATCCTGCTTTGTCGCTGTGTTTACGCTCCTCTAAGTCGGAGATGCTGCTCAGGTGTGAGCTGGGACATTCAGAGCACGGACCTCCACAAGGCAGCGTGGCAGGCATGTTTAGTTATTTATTTAGCACAACCTCTTCACCGATAAGAAAATGTCAGTTCTGAAAACCTGCAAGTGGTTGGCGAGCTGGGAATGTTGCTACCAACAACACAGGGTTGTTTGGGGGTTTAAATCTTGTGCTAATCCAACTGGGTTTTATTGCCACAACTTGAGTTTCTGTTTTCTTTCCACTTCCCAGGCACCAAGACAATTTTGGCCTCGTGACAGTTCAAATTTCTCCGTGTTTTTTGTGTCAATATCTTTATAAGATCCCAAATGTTGCCATAAAGATAGGGTTGTACCTATTTCCTGCTGGACAATGGCCAAAATCCACTTTATCAGTGGGTTACACAAGACTAGTTTCACCTAGTGCGGGATATTCCGTATTCCAACGTAAATACCTGTATAATCAGGCATTTAATGCTATCAGACATAGAGTAATATCAGATATGTGATATCAGGGGTATAATGCTATCAGGGATGCAGTAATATCAGGGATATAATAACTGGGGCTTAAAACATTTGCTAGTTCAAAATGACTCTGAAAAGAGTGATTTTGGCAGAACTATCTGTGTGCACAGGGATGTGCTGGTTGGGGCCTCTGTGGATAAAAAACCCCTTCTATTGTCCGTGTGGCACTCCCGGTGTCCCTGTGGCATTCACCGCCGGTGTCTGTGTTGCAGGCAGGCAGGAAGGATGGCCGGGAACAGCCTGGTGCTGCCCATCGTGCTGTGGGGCCGCCGCGCCCCCACGCACTGCGTGTCCTCCCTGCTGCTCATGGACGGCGCCTCCGTCATCGTCACGGGCTGCCACGACGGGCAGATCTGCCTGTGGGACCTCGCCCCGGACCTGCAGGTAATGAGTGTTCCCTCCGGGATTCCCCGGGGGTGCTGTGTCATCGCTCTGCCGTTCCCTCGGGTGCCTGTCCTCCCCCTCTGCAGCGCTCGGGTTGACACCACAGGGTTGACACCACAGTGACTGCTGCAGGTTAAAAAGAGAGATTTTTGGCTCTTGAACTTTGTTGCTGTCCCTGCGTGAAGTTTTTTAAAGTAATTCCTATGTATATATTCCCTGTCATTTTTTTCATTCAAACTGAGCCAATTTTATAAATATTTTTAAGTATTGGTTTATAGATTTATAAATATTGACGTTAGTTTGCCGATTGCCTTTTTTTTCCCCAAATTGGCATGGCAGCGTTAAGTAGAAACTCTCTTTCAAGATTATATATCCACAGCTATGCTAATTAAATATGTGTATATTAATAGATATATAATACATGAAATAGGAAGCTGGAATATGTGTATTCTGTTTCTCAAATGGTGCCTATGTTATTTTGACTTCCCATTTTCTCTCCCTGGTCCCAGATTAATCCCAGAGCTCTGCTGTTTGGTCATACAGCCTCAGTTACTTGTTTATCCAAGGCCTCAGCTTCCAGTGAAAAACAATATATAGTGAGTGCATCCGAGAGTGGGTGAGTTTCTGAGCAGTTTTGATATGCAGAACTGTCAAATAATGGAAATCTGTCCCCAGATTATCTGTATTTCACACTGGGGCTGTGTCTGATTTTTTTATCCTTAAGAAAAAATTGATCAGCAAATACATTTAATTTTTCTAAGTGGTTTCATTTACTAATGAGAGCAGCAGTTTAGAGGGTGGAAGGGGAAAGGATTTCTTGTGCGGTTGATATCCACGTAAATATGTCTGGCAAAGGCAGGGATGTTGTTGTTTCCTTTCTCTAAACACAATTCATATAATCGCTAATAAAAAGGTCAAATGAAGGTTCTCCTGGTGCAGAGGTGTTTAATTTAAATGCTTGGAAGCCTGGGCTGGTTTCCCTGCAGTTTGAAGCTGCCTTCTGTGTTTCAGGGAGATGTGCCTGTGGGATGTGAACGATGGGAGATGCATCGAGTTCACCAAGCTGGCCTGCGCACACACTGGAATCCAGGTCGGTCCTGGGAAGGGTTCCAGAGCTGTGGGTGTCACAGTGCAGTTATAACACTGTGGTTTGGGTTGAAGGTGAAGGGCTCCGTGGCCCACACGGCGTGTAATTTCTGTGTGTTGTCAGTTCTATCAGTTTACAGTCGGCTCTCAGCGGGAGGGGAGGCTCTTATGCCATGGACATTATCCAGAAATTCTGGTCGTGGATGCAACCAGCCTTGAGGTTCTTTATTCCTTGATATCCAAGATCTCTCCTGACTGGATCAGCTCCATGAGTATCATCCGATCCAACAGGACACAAGGTGATTATTTCCTGCTGCAGGACACCTTCCGCTTGCTCCAGCCTGGCCTTGGACACTTCCAGGGTGGATCGGTTGACGTGGTTTAAATGTTACCTGTGCACAGATCTGTTTCGCTCTGCTAATTGGAGTTAATTTGGTGGGCTGTAATTTTTGGCAGAGAGGTGTCTCGTGCAGGTGTGTCCGTTATGGACGCTGCAATTCCTGAGAGATTTGGGGAACACTAAGGAGAAGATCCTGACTGAAGGACTTCTGTCTTGGGTTAAGGCTGACAGCAGCTGTAAACTGCATGTTCCCAAAATCCCAGGGTGGGAAAGCTCAGTTGCTATCCCCAAAACGTGTAAATTGCTGGAACATCTGGAATTGAGCTGTGGTATCAAGTGTTTCCTGACAACACCTTTCACTTATTCCTTGTTTCGTAATAATCATCTTTGCAAATAAACATTCCGTTTGGAAGCAAACACTCCAGGAGTGGTTTTGTGATTAGTTTTAGTTTATCCTCAGTGTATTTGTACACTCAGATATGCACAAGTGAAGAAGTCCTTGTGATCTCATCCTCGTTTCTGTGTTTCCCAGAGGACACGGTGGTGGCAGTTTCCGTGACCGGCATCCTGAAAGTCTGGATAATCACCTCGGAAGTCAGTCGGCTCCAGGTACACAGAGGCTGCTGGATTAATGGTATTTCCTGGAGGGACGGAGGATTTTATTCCTGTTCTTCCCTGTTCTTTCTGAGGATATTGCTCTTTGCCAGCTGAAAATCAACTTCCAGAATTTTGCTTTAGTGATCCAAGTTCCCAGCAGAACTCCGAATCCTTCCCAGAGAACTGATTTCAAAATTTAGAGTAGGATAATCTCCAGTTTTTCCAAATCTACTTTTTATTTGTACCATTTAATGATTTGGGTTCATATTTGCTGAGCAGAGGATACAGCTTTTAGGAATATTCATTTTCCAGGACTGTCTCCAGCTCCCTGTATACTAGTGAATAAAAGTCTGAGAGATTTACTGCACATCTCAGACCTCTGGTAAATTAACTCCTCACAGAAACACCTTGCAAAAGATGTTTGGCAATTAGAGAAAAAAGAACTTAAATAACGGAATGAAATGGCAGTGGAATCTGCTTCATTCCAGTTTCCTACCTGACTGCAAGGTGATTCACTGACTAAATCAGCACCACTAATCCATCCTGCTGGGGAACTGGGGAGACTTAAGTGCCCAAAGAGGACACCACGTGCTCCTGCAGATCTTCTTATGAGGAATAATGGAATCAGAACCGCTCCAGGTGTTTGGGTTTCCCTTAGAAATCAGCCCTGGGGCACCCTATGAAATGCCATAGTCCCTGTTCCGTGGTGTCTGGCGTGGTCCTGACTTCAATCTGAGCAGGAAAAGAATGAATTTGATGTTGGTTTTGGTTGCTTTCAGGATACCACGCCGGTGTTCGAGGAGGAGTCCAAGCCCATTTACTGCCAGAACTGTCAGAGCATTTCCTTCTGTGCGTTCACCCAGCGCTCGCTGCTGGTCGTGTGCTCCAAGTACTGGAGGGTAAGGCAGCAACCCCTGGGGCCCTTCTCACCCTGGAACCTCATTTCATTCAATTGCACTGAAACATCTACATCAAGATGCTCCAAGTCCTTTCAGTGGGATTCTGTTTATAAGTTTCATGTATATCTCATTAATATATTAATATATATTTAATCTAAATCTCTGCCCACTAGAGGATCTTTAAGATCCCTTCCAACCCAAACCATTCCATCCATGATTCTGTGATATTAAACCCAAAATTAGCTGCTGTCTGGGCATTTTCATCTGTGATAGATTCATGACACCACTTTTGTGTTTCTTCTCAGGTTTTTGATGCTGGGGATTATTCCCTCTTATGTTCAGTCCCCAGTGAAAACGATCAGACCTGGACTGGTGGGGACTTTGTGGCAGCTGATAAAGTGATTGTGTGGACAGAGGATGGACAAAGTTTTATCTATAAATTACCAGCCAGGTAGCCAAAAATTAAATACTCCATTTATTTAGTCTTGAGGTAAAACCTGGAGAAATGTTGAAATACTGACCCAGTAAGGGAAAGTGCAAACAGCTGAAAATACACACGTAAATATAAAACTATGATATACATTTAAAATTGTGCATCAGAGAGGTTAAACAAGTGTAGAATGACAAGTAAAACCAAAACCTTTCCTTCTGACATCTTCATGACGTGCAAACATCTGTGTTCTGGCTAAAGAGACAGTTTTATATTGAATATTGAATGTAAATCTGATGGAAACTCCTTCCTCGCCCTCTGGTGATCAGAGCATGACGATGAGAGCAACATCCATGTACTAAGGTAGTAATCACTCTGTAAATGCAGGGAATTTTACTCCTTTCTCCTTGTCCTTACACCCAGCTGCCTCCCAGCCAGCGACTCGTTCCGCAGAGATGTGGGGAAAGCAGTGGAAAACTTGATTCCACCTTTACTGTACAGCGTGTTGGACAGAGCAGATAAACAGGTACCTCTGGTTCTTTGGAGCTTTTCTTGCGGACAGCAGTCATTTCTGTCCTGCTTTTAAAAGGCACAGTGAGAAATGTGGAGGTGAGCTCGTGGTTTGCACGTGGCCTGAAGTTGTTGGGTTTTTTATTTTTTTTTTTTACAGCTCCTGATATGTCCTCCAGTTACTCGGTTCTTCTGTGCACAAGGAGAGTTTTCCTACAAGCTGCTGATCCAAGGAGACTCCTCGGGGCGACTGTGCATTTGGAGCGTGCCTGACACCCTTGAACAGCAAGAGAGTGCGAGAGGTACCTGATCACCAGCCTTGCTGCCAGATCTTTTAACGGGAATTTGTGTTTTAGGTGTGCTTTTGCTGCATAAAGCCCTGCTGGTTCTCTCAGACATCCGTGAAGTTGGGCTTTAATTGTTCCCTTCCTGTAAGAGTTATAGTGAGATAATTTGATAATGCCTGATAGAAATCTTAATTCGCTTTATTTATGTAAGAGTTACCGTAGCTTCAATTTTTCATAAATGGTCAAAATCTTAATTAGCATTGTCCTTGTAGTCAGTACATTAGTTTCCGGTGTAGAACCAAGGAGTGGTTTGGGTTGGAAGGGAGCTCAGAGGTTGTCCAGATCCACATGCAGGGATGTCTCCCACCAGCCCAGGCTGCTCAAATCCTCCTCCCGCCTCACCCCTTCCTTCTTCTTTCCCTCCTTTTTAACAGGCCTGCAAACAACCACCTCCGTATCCCTGCAGGAAGCTTTTGACAAGCTCAGCCCCCGTCCCGCCGGCATCATCGACCAGCTGAGCATCATCCCCAACGTGAGCGAGCCGCTGCGGGTGACGGCCAGCGTGTACATCCCGGCGCACGGGCGGCTGGTGTGCGGCCGCGAGGACGGCAGCATCGTCATCGTGCCGGCCACGCAGACCGCCATCGTCCAGCTGCTGCAGGGGGAGCACATGCTGCGCAGAGGTACGGCCGCCGCCTGGGCGGGGCCGCAGATGCTTTGGCTGAGTGAGCAGGAGTTGTTTTATGGCGCAAATCCTCTCAATCCCGTGATGTTCTGTTACACGGTGAGCATCCCGGGTGGTAACAATGGAGTTGATCGCCCAGCCAAGGTCCACTGGAAAGCCTTGGATATTTCCCCTGGGTGTTTCTGAGATGCAGCAGCAAAGATGTGGCAGGGGACATGTGTCTCCTCTGGAATTGTTTGTGGCACTGGGTATTGTACCAGTGGGAGTCCCCTTGGGAAAATAGTTCATCCACCCGGATTCCTCTGTATCCAAGAGTTGTACTTGGGCTGCCCTTGGATATTTGGGTATAACGTTGTAACTGTGATCAGAGTTGCAGAACAAATATTTGGAGGTAGATTCTTCCTAGTGCTGGTACATAAAGAAGTGTCAATATTTGGAAATGCACCTCAGGGCTTGTCCGTTTTGTACAAGGCTGTGGGCTGCACTGGTTCCTCTAGAGAACTGATTTAATTTATATAACTTTATACCAAAATGATTTTTTCTTAATGTAAAAAAATGCTAATATTAAAAACAGGGTTAATTCTCTAAGAACATGAATTGCAGAGAGTCTGGTTTTTTTAATCAAGAGCAGCATCTTGGATTGCTGACTGTTCTGCTGAATTCTGGTTTTTCTCCCTTTTTTTCTCCCTTCGCCCCTCTCACCCCAATCGCAGGTTGGCCGCCCCACCGGACGCTGCGAGGCCACCGGAACAAAATCACGTGTTTGCTGTACCCTCACCAGGTCTCCTCCCGCTACGACCAGCGGTACCTGATCTCGGGAGGGGTGGACTTCTCCGTCATCATCTGGGATATCTTCTCGGGAGAGATGAAGCACATCTTCTGTGTCCACGGCGGAGAGATCACCCAGCTGCTCGTGCCCCCAGAGAACTGCAGTGTGAGTGTGTAGGGGCTTAATTGTTATTATTATGATACTATAATAATTATGATAGTAATGCTGATAATAACATGTATAATCCATGCCAGATATTTTATTATGTATGTTATGTCATATAGTATTATATATAGCATATAGTTATGGATGTCATTTAGTACTATATATAGGATTTAAAACAGGGGGTTTATTGAACTTGCTAAGAATAAATTTTAAAGGCAATTTTGCCTCATACAACGTGGCTGAGTAAGTACAATTTTAGTGAACAAAATGACATTAATTGCATGGAAATCATCTTTTCTCTGATTTTTGTTCGAGAAAATATGGTTTATTCCTGTTTGCTCTTTATGATGTGCGTGAGGATGCATTAAATGGAATTTCTGCTCAGGCAGTTCTGTTTCCAATGAGCGTAACTGTAGGTTGAGGTGCCTGTTGTTGTTTATAAAATAGGTTTTTGGTCACCCTGCTTTGTCCAGTGGGGAAAAGGTTTGTAATAGAAACTCTCCGCATGATGATTAAGATTGTTCTCTTTTTGGTGGTTGTTTTTTAATTAGGCCAGAGTGCAGCACTGCATTTGCTCCGTTGCCAGTGACCACTCGGTGGGCCTGCTGAGCCTGAGGGAGAAGAAGTGCATCATGCTGGCATCCCGCCACCTCTTCCCCATCCAGGTCATCAAGTGGAGGCCTTCTGACGACTACCTGGTGGTGGGGTGCTCCGATGGCTCCGTGTACGTCTGGCAGATGGACACCGGTGAGCTCACAGATGCTGATAATCACTTTTTAGTGCGTGCCAGTATCGCTTTGCTGACAGTCCTGTGGAAGCTGTCTGAGGGGGGAGTTAAAGCCGGGCGATAACACACGAAGGGTTTTACGCCGATGCTGCGAGGAGGTGTTTTCACCCTGTGGTATATGGGGCGTTGCGAGTTGTTCCCACAGGAAGTCAGGCTCTCCCACACCTCGCAGGTGCCCTGGACAGGTGTGTGATGGGCATCACGGCGGTGGAGATCCTGAACGCGTGTGACGAGGCCGTGCCCGCCGCCGTGGACGCGCTGAGCCACCCGGCCGTGAACCTGAAGCAGGCCATGACGCGCCGCAGCCTGGCCGCCCTCAAGAACGTGGCCCACCAGAAGCTCCAGACCCTGGCCACCAACCTGCTGGCGTCCGAGGCCTCGGATAAGGTCAGTGGGGGACAGCACCTGGAGCGTCTGTTTCCGGAAAGGAATAAAACATGGCAAGTCTCTGTCAGAATCTGGAATCGAGGAGTCTTTCAGGTTGGAAAAGCACTCCAACAGCACTGAGTGTTCAGCACTGTTCCCACCACTAACCCCTACTGCCAAGTGCCACATCCACACAGCTTTTATATCCCCCCAGGGCTGGGGACTCCACCTCTGCCCTGGGCAGCTGTGCCAGGGCTGGACAGCCCTTTCCATGAGGGAATGTTCCCAATTTCCAAATGTTTCCAAAGGGAATGTTCTGGGCTGTGGCCAGCAGAGGGCAGCACTGCTCCACTCCCGGCTTCTCCCGGTCGTCCCTTCCTTTACCTTCTGCTGTTCTGTCGTGTCTGGAAAGACATCTCCCTTAGTGAGAACATTCCTTAGAACACCAGCACCAGCACCCACAAGTGATGCAGTAACTGCACATCTGCGTGAATTTGAGTAGCTTATTCTGCAACAGCATAAATTGATTCTATAGTTCAGTCTCCAAATCTGAAATATTCCATATGTTTTAAGCTTAATAACAAAAGACTGGATTTTTGTTGTTCCTTGGAATATAGCTGATCTTGTAGAATTCAGGAGAGAGAAATGTGAACTTGTGTCTTACATGGAGAACTTTATTTACCCACAGATGTCTGTGAGTTGGATTTCTGTGTTTTGAGGGTGTGAGTTTTGAACTTGGATCAAAGGGTTTCTCAATAGGAATTTCAATTTGTTCTCTTGTTCTTCCAGGGGAATTTACCGAAATACTCCCATAACTCCCTGATGGTTCAGGCTATCAAGACCAACCTGACAGACCCAGACATCCACGTGCTGTTCTTTGATGTGGAGGCCCTGATTATCCAGCTGCTGACCGAGGAGGCCTCCCGGCCCAACACCGCCCTCATCTCCCCAGAGAACCTCCAGAAAGCCTCCGGGGGCTCTGACAAGGGAGGCTCCTTCCTCACTGGCAAACGGGCAGCCGTGCTCTTCCAGCAGGTCAAGGAAACCATCAAGGAGAACATCAAAGAGCACCTTCTGGACGACGAGGACGAGGATGAGGACGCCCTCAGGCAGCGCAGGGAAGACGGCGACCCGGAATATCGCTCCAGCAAATCCAAACCCTTGACTCTGTTGGAGTACAACCTCACCATGGACACGGCCAAGCTGTTCATGTCCTGCCTGCACGCCTGGGGCCTGAACTCCGTGCTGGATGAGCTGTGCCTGGATCGCCTCGGCATGCTGAAGCCGCACTGCTCCGTGTCCTTCGGCCTCGTGTCCAGGGGAGGCCACATGTCCCTGATGCTCCCTGGCTACAACCAGCCCGTGGGCAGAGCGGCCCGTGACAGCGGGGAGCTGGGCAGGAAGATGTCTGTCACGGAGGGGCTGGGCAAGGGCACCTACGGCGTGTCCCGCGCCGTCACCACCCAGCACCTGCTCTCCGTCATCTCCCTGGCCAACACCCTGATGAGCATGACCAACGCCACCTTCATCGGGGACCACATGAAGAAAGGTCCCACCAGGTACAGCAAACATCACTGGGCAGCTGGCAGCTGTTAACAGGGCCTGCCTGAATTAGCATCATATTTTGAGTATTTCTGCTGTGGGATTGGTGTGTTTGGTGTATTTTCCACCAGAAATCCTTTGGTGGTGTAACTGATGTGCCTCCTCATGGATGTTTTGTGTTTGTCTCTCCATGGGTATTTTGTATTTAGGCCACCCAGGCCCGGCACCCCGGAGATGGCCAGAGTGAAGCCACCCCCTCCCATTTCCAGCCATGCAGCACAAGGACAAATTAAACAAGGTAAGTAGTATTTGGAACCACTGGATCTGTCCTTCCAGCTCCTGACACCAGATTTATCTCCTGGTCATCCAGCATCACAATACTGTTGGGTTATACATGGGAGGGAAAAGTAGTGCAATATTGTAATATTAAAAAGGTAGTGCAGCAGTGTAATATCAACCTAGATACAGTTACTAATGATTAAGAACTTTTTAAGAATCATTACAAGGTGCTGATTCTGCCATGAAGTCATTCCCTGACAAGGAATCGTTGCATATTGATCCCAGCTCAGTGTCGCTCACTCCTGGTTGGAACTACTCACATTGTTAGAGCAGGAACAACTCCAGCAAACCCAGGCAAAACAATTCCGGAGTGAAGCTTTAATTTCAGGCTGGGGTGGGATTTACAATTGCTTTTAAAATTGCTATTTTCCCTGAAATAAGCGGCTTTTTGGATACACCTACTGCGAGTGGGGTTGGAAGGGATTCACTCCATCACCCTGCCCACGTGCCGTTGGTGTGGGAAGGCTGGAAGAGGGAGGTGGGATGCAGATGTCCCCCGGTGACAAAAGCCTGCAAAGCAAACAGCCCATTCCAGAGACAATGCCTGATCCGTCCGGGAGCTTGATCCCATTGTTGTTCTGCAACGGAATAAAAGGGAGGGATTAGCGGGAGGATGCTTGTGCAGGACATCTGCTGGGGGGCTGCAGGAGGAAGTGGCAGCAGTGACCTGCCGGTCCCCACGGTGACCTCGGCATGTGCAGCCCATGGGATAATTATTCCGTGGGATAATGCCGGAGTCACGGAGCATTCGTGGCAGGATAATGCTTGGAACGACCTAGAAATCACATTCACACCGAGAGATGACGATCCTCAAGGACTCTCAAGGGGTGGATGTGGCCCCTGGGCTCGGGGTAGTGCTGGACACCGTGGTTAGGGTGTGGTGGGGCTGGTTCCTGGTTGGATTTGATGATCTCCAAGGTCTTTTCCAACCGTAACAAATTCTCAGTGAAATGAGAATGTCCAAGATAAATGTCACTGGTTTGCGTGCCAGGCCTGAATTTGTGTCCTTCTCCTTTAGGATTTTAGGCCTTTCTTTGGTATAAACTTACAATTATTCCCCTGGAGACCCATTTAAAAATTAACTTAGATTCCAGCTAACCTTCAGGAATTCATGCTGGGACATCTTGGAGTGACAGGTAGGGCAGCCCAGGTTCATTAAGAGTTACTTTTTGGGCCCTTAACGAGTAGTACAAATCCCAAATCTGTGGAAATATGGGAAAAGCATGAGAAGAAGCAGCCCAACTGCTGTTTTTATAGCTTATAGTCAAACCAAGTGCACCTGTCTAAAGACATATTTAAAATCACTTTATTTCCAGGGATTTTTGTTTTTTGTGAACATCCAAGTCTCTCTTACTGTCTCCATGTTCCTCTGCAGTTGCATGTCTGCCTCTCACTTCTTGGAAAACCTGGAATTCTCATTAAGTTGAATATTATTTTTTCAGTTGAATCTTATTTTTTCAGTTGAATATTTTAAGTTGAATATTCTCATTAAGTTGAAAATTTCAGTTGGAAGTTGTTTCCATTCTCCAGTGATACTAACCCGTTTTTCTGCAGCTGCTTTCCTCACTTTCCTCTTTTTTTATCTCTTTTATTCCTTCTTTGCTCTGCAAGTTGCTCCTGCTGCTCCTTCTAACACGGAATCTGGGCACTCTGACACTGCTCCTCCTTTACATTCCTGTTTCTTAGTCAATGAAGGTATTCCTTCCTCACTTTTCTATTTACCCTTTACCTTCAGCTAAAATCCTTTATCATTGCTATGACATTTTTAATTTGATTTATAGAGGAATTTTTCTTTGCCAGTGGGGTACCTGAGTATGGGTTTGCCCTCTGAGCTTCTCTTAACAAGCTCCTGCAAATGAACCAGAGAAAATCGGTTTCACATCATTTAAATCTGATTTTTGGCATTTAGGAAGACTTGGGGTGTATTTAAACTGCTTGGGGTTGGTGGTGAGATGAGTTTGGTCTAAGAAATACTTACTGTGTTTGAGAAGAATGTCTTTCTGCACAACACCCTGTGGGCAAGTTGCTTTAAATCAGAATTTTTAGTGGTAGTGTATAAATTCTTACTTCTTTAACTGGAAATTCCTCTTTTAGTCCTTTTTTTGAAGGGAAATTGATATAATTTCTTCAGCACCAGGAAGCGCTTGATTGGTGAAAATACTCAGATTTTTGTGCCCAATATTGCTGAGAAATCAAAAATTGTAGATTTATATGTTCACCTGAAGTATTTTTGCAGTCAGTGAGATATTGAATGTAATATTAAATATATAGTAATATATTATTAAATAGTTGTTGCCCATGGAGTATTTCAGCAGCATCTGTACTCACTGTGCAGTTGAGCTCCATGTTTCTCTCTGCTGGTTTGAACTACTCACTATTGCAGACCTGTAGCAGGAATTCACCTGGAGTAAGCGTCTCAAAATAAGATTTAGGTGGAAAAATGAGGATACAGGCCAACTGTGCTGGGCTATATTTGCATAAATCAGGACAAAAATTAAGATCAGGACAGAAAATTCCATGTAATCCCTAAGGGGATAACTCCTGAGTGTGCTGTAATTTATCGATATCCCTGCTCCAGGTAGGAGGTGAAATAGGGGGATAAGGACAGCTTGCTCCGGTGTGTTCCAGCCCTCTTCCCGGTGTTTTCCAGGCTGGAGCCAGCTGGCTGCCATGCACTGCGTGATGCTCCCGGACCTGCTGGGGCTGGATAAATTCCGGCCTCCTCTGCTGGAGATGCTGGCGCGCCGCTGGCAGGATCGCTGCTTGGAGGTCAGTGCAGCCCTTGTATTTCGGGCTTTGTGTTGTGTTTTACAGATTCCTCTCATGTATAAAGAAATTATTTTCTGCCCCGAGTGCTGCAGTTTTTGTTTCCAACGCGTTGGGTGACTTTTGGCGCCGTGGAGGGAGCGCTGTGTAAATCCAGCTGTGTGTGTTGTGCCTCGGGGGTGCTGTGTGGGTGCTGTGTGGGTGCTGTGTGGGTGCTGTGTGGGTGCTGTGTGTGTGCTGGCCCCAGCCCCGCCTGGTGTGGGGTGCTGTGGGACTCAGGGCCGTTCCCTGCAGGTGCGGGAGGCGGCGCAGGCGCTGCTGCTGGCGGAGCTGCGGCGCATCGAGCAGGCGGGACGCAAGGAGACCATCGACGCCTGGGCCCCCTACCTGCCCCAGTACATGGACAGCGTCATCTCCCGTAAGGAACGGGGCAAACTGCCGGCAGCCCGGCCGAGGGGGGCACGGGGTGACAGGGTTGAGTGTCTTGGGCAAGGCTGGACTTCCAGGAGCACAGAGCAAGGCAATATTTGAGTTAATGAAATGAAGTATAGGTGGTGCGGTAAATAATTTTCCCAAATCCGTGATCTGTTGTTTCCTCCAGCTGGAGTGACCACAGAAGCCATTCAGACTGGCACTGCCAGCCCAGATTCCGTGGGAACAGAAGCAAAAGTGCAGGAGGAGGAGCAGGATCTGGTCGATGACGACATTGCAGCAGGTGAGCATTAGTTGAATTATTGTCTGTATTGTAATAGGTTTGGAGCCCTTCAATCTGCCCACAACCAACATTCAGCTTGTAGTTCTGGAGGAATAATGACCTCACATGATTCTTTACAGTTATCCCTTAAACAATTTCTTTTGGGGGAAAATCTGATCTAAGGGTGCTGCCAGCAGTATCCTGAATTTCGGTTTAAATAATTCACATTTTTCCCAGTTGAGCATGAAATCTCCTGGCTCCAGTGGTCAAAATTTTGTAAGTTGGTAAGTTGGCTTATGCAAAGTGTCTTTTGAATTGCTTTTATTATTATTTTATTGTTCTTACTTTATTAATTTGTAGACCTTCTTATTGTGGCACCACCTAACTGAAGTCCTTTTAAATTGGTTCCTGAAGTGATGTACAATTTAGTTTTTCCGATACTGAGCTGGAGTTTTTAATAATGTCAGTTTTTAACACCGAGCCTCTGGGCTCTGTTGGAAGTTCCCCTCCGCTCCTGGGGCCGGAGCTCTCCGGAGGGGAGCAGCAGGTGCTGTTTCCCATTGCGTCCATCCCGCTTGCAGCCCCCAGAATTCGGGGTGGGGCAGAGCCCCACAACAAACGGCACCATCTGGCAGCCCCAGCCGACAAGCCGGTGGCCCACTGTTCCACACAATGAGGGTGCCACGGGAGACAAAATTCGGGACCAAATTCCTGCTGGGTTGCCCTTTAAGTAGGTTACACCGGAGCCCAGCACATCCGAAATCCCTGTCACTGGGAGTTTGGTGGGAGAGCTGGAAAAGCTTTTAATTTGGATTTAATCACCCACTGGAACCCATCCACCATGTCATGCCCTGCCTATTGTGTGACACTCCCCAAAAGTGGGGGTTTGTCATCCAAAACTCGGTCCCTTTGAGATGCTAATTGGGAAAACACATCCCTGGGAAGGGCTCCATCCCTTACAATTGCAAATGGGATGTCGGTGCTGGGACACGGGCTATTTAACGTGGAAAAGGTAATTTTTATGGGAGTTTTTGTGTGTACTAACAGGACCTCTGAATTTGAGGAAGTATCCAATAGATAATTGCATCCCAATTAACAGAGAATTCAAGTTCCTGCTATTCCAAAGCAGCTGTCCAGGAGGAAACATGAAATTATGTGGAAAACTGTTCCTTTTTCCTACTGAAGGGACTATAACTGGGGAGAAGGGGGTTTTCCAGCGAAGCTGCCGGTGTTGGGAAGCTGTGGGCATCTGCCAGGGAAGCAGATGTCTCCCAGGAAACCCCATTCAGCTCCCTGCTCCCTGCGAGGGGTTACGGGCTGGACATCTGTGGGATCGGCATCTGTGCTCCGGGTGTTCATTAGGGGAGTTCCCAACTCCACAGACCCGCTCTGGGGGCTCAAGGCTCCTTTCTAATTAAGGGAGAAGCGTTGGAGCGGAGTTGGGAGCCAGGAGCTGCCCGGGGTCCATCCCTGGCAGTGTTCCAGGCCAGCCTGGACCATCCTGCTCTAGGGGAAAGTTCCCAACCCATGCAAGGGTGTGGAAGTCTGGAAAAAATCATATTTATGAGGGAAAACTTGGTTCTCTTTGTGTTAAAAACATTTGTCCTGTAGTTTTCCTCCTCTGGCTGCTCCTCCTGTGGGCTTTTTGCAGCTTGGCTGTAGTTTGAGCCGCTCTGACTACTCAAAATTAAACCTTGGGTGTCACTATTTGCTCCGAGTGGTCCTGTTGAAAAGTCTAAAGTTTAAATCACATTCATTTAAGTGTCAAAGATCGTTGGTCTAAAGGCTCTTTAAAATGAGTTTATATTGGCAACGAACAGATCTTTACAGATTTAGATTATTGTCCCTTAAATGTCACTTCTCAGGGATATTTTGCTGCATTAACCTAGTGCTTCAAAAACCAGATAACAGGTGCCTGAAATTCCTGATATTCCCCATTTGAGCAGCACAGGATCCATTTTGTCTCTGCCTGTTTCCCTGGAACAGGCTGCAGCATCCTCACCCATTTTGTGTTCCCACATGCTGCAGCACAGTGAAATATTCCCTCATAAAAGGTACAGCGCAGCAGAAAATTCCAGCAAACTGCAGGAGATCGGAATGGCTGCAGAAATACTCATTTTGTGTGGGGAAGAGCACGTTTTGGACCTGAGATGAAAGAAATGAGGTTGTCATTTGTAATGCAGGAGACACCTCCCAGCATTTAAAGAACTCTGCTTTTAAATTGTCCCCCGTTTAGAATTCCAGAGATTCCAGAGTACTGACTGTGTTGACAGCGTTTGTAGTAAAAACAAGTGATTGGCACAGAACTAAAGCCAGATAAATGTAAACATCATCTTTTTAACAGCCTTTAATAAGCTGTTAATAAGGATGAATAATTAATAAAAAATTCCTTATTGAATCCCAGATCTCTCTAAACAGGGGGAAGACTCCAGTAAAACCAGTCCAAATCTGGATTTCCCATTTGGAATTATGCTGATTATTTTATTCAAATGAATCTGAGAGTAAAACCAATTTAAATTAGAATTGTTTCTAATTTGGTTTTAATATTTCATAGTTCTGGGCTCAGTTATGGAAAGAATGAAAATATTTATTATAGAACGTTATCTCTGAAAGTGTTTGAAATCCAGGCTTGATTTCCCTTCTCATCCGGGTTTTCTGGAGCAGCCCAATGTGAGGGACTATGGAAACAGCACAAATAAAAATGGGGAAAATGATAAGTATTAGATTGCAGAATTCCCGGGCACAGGTAAGGGCTCCTTAACTTCCTGTAGTGCCAGGTTTCTGTGTGTCTCCAGAATGGGCTGCCAGGGCCTCCGGAGAGAAATTCCCCAAATTCCCGCTGGTCTTGGCCCTTCCAGGCAGGAACTTCAGCTCCGAGGAGAGGCTCCCAAAGTGCCTTCAGTGCTGGGCCAGCGGAGGGAGCTGTGGATGCAGGAATGGCTGCACTTCCAGGCAATCCCAGTACTTTTACAGCAGGAGGCTGGTAATGAGTAAGCACAGGTTTTATAGGCTTGGGTATAATATTTTCCTCTTTTCCTTCGTTTTCCTCATCACACTTACTGTTATTTCTTGCTGCTGTTTCGCAATCCTGATTTATTTTGAGCCGGTCCTGCAGACTCTGTGCTCAGCAAATAATTTTATCCACTCTATCCATTTGAACTCTGTATTTCTGATATCCCTGTATTCCCACAATACTTATTCTGTGCACATGGAATGGTGTAACTAAATCCCAGTGCTGGGAATTAGGGGGTGTAACTAAACCCTGAGCTGGGTTGGGTTGGCACCACCGGGGGACTCTCCAGGACTCTCCGTGGCCATGGACGTGGTTTTGTTGGATCAGGATCCCCGTGGTTTGGATTTTATGTTTCATAGAGCTAACTGGGTCTGACCCCTGCTCCTCCGAGCTGGAGTAGCTACTGCAGGCTGGGAATACTCCAGGTTTGCACCTGCTGGCAGATACAAAGTACCTGGGCACAGCCCACCTCCCATAAAACCGCCTTAATTCAAATCCATTGATTCCTCTTCCAGTTAAACCTGGAGAACTTCATTTGGCTTTTAATCCTTTTATTGTAAGCTGGGCTGAAATTAATTTTCCCCCGAAGTGTGCAAAGCCAATTAAGGGAGTCAGGGAGGGGAGTGCTCCGAAGTGTTAAGTGCAGCCTGACCTCGTGGCCGCACTCTCCAACCGCGCTGCCAGCGGAGCAATCGATATCCCGCAGCCTCCTAAACAGGGAAATTTGGGAAGATTTCACCTGCCTTTCCAGCGCTTCATCCACCTGCTTCGTGCTGTCTGCTCTGAGCAGTTGTGGGGGTTTAACACCTAAAACTGTGAATGTTTGGGAATATTTGTGCTTATATTTGGGAGCACACACACCCCCCACCGGTTTGTCTTCACCTGAAATGGGGATTTTTCCAGCTGAAATCCCGAAGGTTTTTGTCCTGTTGGCAGCACAGCGTCTGTTTTCCACCCAGACCTATTTGAGGTTATTAATTTTGTCCCAGTGATAGGGTGATCAACCGTCCTGTCAGGAAAATGGATCTGTGTGTCAGCCTCTGCCGTGATTAAAGGGAGCCACGGCACAGGGAGAAAATACCAAGTTTTCATGGCCAAAGGAAAGGGCTCCTCGTCAGGGCATTATTCCAGTGGAAAAAAATACCTCTCAGTTTAGTTGGGGGGAAACCATTCCAATTAACTGGGGGCTTCCTCTAGTTGGGGTTGGTTGGGGTTTAATTTCTTGGAGTATTGGCAGGTTTTTTGGAATTCCTTTCTTTTTGAGGTAGGAAATCCTCTGAGGATCGTGGTGTGGGTCGGATTGAGACAGAGTTTGTGGATTCCCAGCAGTTTGGTTTTGTCCATCTCAGATTAATCTGTGAAAATTTTGCTGGTACAGGTTCTGTGGCCCCAAGAGGTTGTGACTGCCCCATCCCTGGAAGTGTCCAAGGCCAGGTCGGAGGGGGCTTGGAGCGAGCTGGGCTAGTGGGAGGTGTCCCTGCCCGTGTCAGGGGGTGGGACTGAATGAGCTTTAGGGTCCCTTCCCAGCCAAACCATCCCGTGATTCTCCAGGCCCGTGGCTGGGAGGATGCTCCCAGATGCCCGCTCCGGGATCTCCGAAGGGTTAACCTCATCTCTCCGCAATCAGGCGATGGCAGGGGGGAGGCAGGCGATGGCAGGGGGGAGGCAGGCGTGCAGGGGTTTAATTTCCTACTGGAAGCTGCACATGTGTTGGCTTTTCCTTTCTTTGTGGGCCGGAGCGGGGCGGGCGCCCGGCGGGGTCAGCGCCTCGGCTATTGATCCGCATCCCGCCGGCCCTGCTCCCGCAGCTGCTCCGCATTAGGGCACACATCCATAACCCCATAACCCGCGCTCCGCTCGGCCCAGCGGGGACGGCGCCACGTGGGAGCCGCGAGCTCGGAGCGGCACTGGGGCCGATCCATCTCCATCCGAGGGGTCTGGCCCAGCACCCGGAATGGGCTGGGAGCTGCCTGCGGCCCCGGCCATCCCAGGGAACGGGGACCTGTCTGTCCAGGTGTGACAGCCAGCGGGATGTACACGAATGTTAACGAGAACCCGGGATAAACCTCTGTTGGACGGTTCCAACTGTTCCCTTCCCTGCTTTGTTCCAGCCTGTTTTCATCCTTCTTCCTCCGAAGGCAGTTGCTATTGATTTTTTCCTTTCCTTTTTTTTCCCTCCCTTCCCATTGTTAAGCTTTCCCTTGTTTTTTTCTCTCCCTTTTAGCTGGCAGGGGTTGCCTGACCACAGCTCCTAAAATTTGGTTCAGTTCCTTGTTTTCCTGTGGAGCCCCACTGATGTCATTAACAGAGACGTCCCATGCGCCTCATTAATTCCCCCTTCGTTAATCCACGCGCCCAATGAGCCTCATCCCATGCCAGGTGGTGCCTCCCAACTCCTCAACCCCTGGGAAGGATTGCAACTTCCTTATTTTTGTACAAAAATGGTAGGGAATTTCCTAGGATGCCAGGAATTAATATAGGTAAAAGTGAGCTTTCTTTGTCAGAAAAAATGACAGCGGTGGTTTCATTCCAATAATTTCTTCTAATATTTTTGTCCATGCTTAAAAATCCTGGTAGTGCTGGAGATGGGATTGAAGTTTTCTTTGTTCAGGTATTTTCTCTGGGAAACACGGTTTGGAATATTAAAGCCAGCCCTCCTTTGTGTTTTAGGGTGTCTCTCGGGTCTCCCCCAGCCCAAGAAGGTCTCCACGTCCTACGAGGAGAGGCGGAAACAAGCCACGGCCATTGTCCTGCTGGGAGTCATCGGGGCAGAGTTCGGAGCGGAAATCGAGCCTCCCAAACTCCTCACCCGGCCCCGGAGCTCCAGCCAGATTCCCGAGGGATTCGGCTTGACCAGCGGCGGATCAAATTATTCCTTGGCCCGGCACACGTGTGAGTACCCCGAGCACTGCGTTCCCTGGCTTGGTGAGGGGGGTACAAACTGCTTCGTTTAAATTCCCTTTCCACTGGAAAAGAGAAAGGCTAGGAATTTGGGATGTACAGAATGTACAGTTGCCAAGGAATCGGTGCTGATGGAGCTGCTGGAATTCTGACAACCTTTATTCTCCTCCCAGGTAAACCAGAGCACTTAGCCTACATTTATTTAATTTGCTCTCATTTATTTCTCCTGGAATAACCAGGAGCAGGGACACTTTCCACTAGCCCAGGTTGCTCCAAACCCCATCCAGCCTAGCCTGGAACACTTCCAGGGATGGGGAATCCATAAAATACAGGGTATTTCTCTGTGTTCCAGTGACATGGAATTGTGATCATGCCTTTTGGAGAGGGTGGAATCCTCTAGAAATCCCCACCGTGCCCTTGCTGACACCTGCATTAATCACTGGTTCCCTCACAACTCGTTCCCAGAGCTATTCCAGATAAAACGCCTCCCCCCAGGAACTGCTCGTTGCAGATGCCCCACGTCCCCCCAGAAGTGCAGCTAATGCCGTGTTCACGGAGTTAATGGGCTGGGAAATCCGACTGCCGCGTCCTGAATATGGAAAAGCGGCTTCCATGGCTAATTCAGTGGATTTCCCGGGCAGCTGCCGTGGGTGCCGTTATTAATGAGCAGTTCCTTGCCCTTTCACTCTGGCGGTGTCGCAGGGACGGCGCCCTGGCAGCTCCCAGTTATTTATATCTCCCGTGTATTGACTCACCCCTCATTCCACAGGGAATTTTGGGCTGTCCACACTCCCACACCCCTGCAGCCACTCCAGCTTTGCTGCGTTCTGGACTAGCTAAGCCAGCCAGCGGTTTGGTTCCCAACTCAGACCCCTGCTACCATCATGGTGGCTGCAACCGTCAGCCCAAATTTCCAGCAGGGGAAGCAAGGGGAATTTCTCGGCAAAAATTAGGGAAAGCAGCTCAGTGATTTCATGTAACCAGTGGATTGGTGGCTGGACATGGTGTCAGAGATGCAGGAAGCTACTAGGTGTGTCCCTAAAATCCTCCAGTGATCCTCTCCTGGGTTGTTGATGAAAGCAGCTCTGGGGTTGGTTCTTAATGTCTTTTTATAAGGGGATATTAAAGGGAAGTAGCGAAGCTGCTTGTCCAGGGCTGCACGTCCTGCAGGATCTGCCCAGCCCCGCTCCACCGAGCTTTTCCAGGGCTAATTACCTCGTTGCTGCGCTGCCTCTAATGTGACATGTTTATTGCCCTAACGAACAACTCATTAGCTGCGGTGATGTTTTTGTCAATATTAATTCCTTCGGTTAAGCCAAGTCAAAGCTTTAAACAAAGATGTCCCGGCTGAGAAACGGGCGGGTTCGGGTTAGTCCGGCTCGTGCTCTGCACAAGGCAGCTGTGAGCAGCAGGGAAAAGCTGGGAGTATTTCATCGGAGTCACAGTTGAGGAGTCACACTTTTAGTGAGGTTTTAGAGTTGGGACATAAAACTGACACTTCTGGGTGTTGTCAGGGTTGGTTGGTGTGAATCTCATGGAAAACGTGTCTGTTGGCTTTTCCCAATCCTGAAAACAACAGGAGGTTTGTTAAATAAAGGAAACAAGGAACTCATTGAGGACAGTGCAGGAAAAACCTGATAAAATCAGTAATTATCTTTATCAGGAGGTGTGTTGTTAGGAGGTAACAAATAATGATGAGGAGATAATAATAAACTATCTGTAATGGCAAGTGTTGCTGCTACACATATATAATTAATTTTATTAAAACATAGACGATGAAATGAAATATTAATAATGTTTCCTCAATATGCAGAACCTGGATCAGGATTCAGGATTGTTGAAGTTGTTTGGGATGTTGTTTCTCTCCCCCACGAGCTCTATTTCTCAGAACTGTTTAGAATTGTGGGCTTAACATTTTTTTTTCCCCAAACAATTCTATTTCTTGTGTAGTGAAAATATTATGTTTGAGGCTCAGCACTGGCACAGGTTGCCCAGAGAGGTTGTGGATTCCCCGTCTCTGGAAGTGTTCCAGGGCAGGTTGGACAGGGCTTGGAGCAGCCTGGGCTAGCGGAAGGTGTCCCTGCCCGTGGCAGGGGGTGGAACCAGAGGGGTTGTGAAGTTCCTTCCCAGTCAGTCCATTGTGGGGTTCCATGACTCAGTCAGGGCCCTGGGTTGTGTCTCGGGCCCAGCTTGCCAGTGGCAGGGGCTGGGTGGGACTGTGCTCCTGCCCGGCGAGGCTTTGGAGCCGCGGCAGTGCCGGTGAGGGCAGTGCCGGTGAGGGCAGTGCCGGTGAGGGCAGTGCCGGTGCCACCGTGTCCCGCTGTGCCCCCAGGCAAGGCGCTGACATTCCTGCTGCTGCAGCCGCCCAGCCCGAAGCTGCCTGCGCACAGCACCATCCGCAGGACCGCCATCGACCTCATCGGCCGCGGCTTTACCGTGTGGGAGCCCTACATGGACGTGTCGGCCGTGCTCATGGGGCTGCTGGAGCTCTGCGCCGACGCCGAGAAGCAGCTGGCCAAGTAGGTACCTCGGGCACTGGCTGTTCCCTCCCCTGCAGCCAGGGGATCGAGTCCTGGGGCTGTGGTGCTTGGCAGGACGCTGGGGAGAAATCCCTGCCTGTGAGCGGTGAGGCCCTGGCACAGACTGCCCCATCCCTGCAAGTGTCCAAGGCCTGGAGCAGCCTGGTGGGAGGTGTCCCTGCCCATGGCAGTGAGATGATCCTTAAAATCCCTCCCAGCCCAAACCATTCCATGAAGGATTTGTTGATAACACATGGATTTTAAATACCACCTGCAACAAGGAGCTGCCCGGGGTTATTTTAATCCCATGGATGTCTTCACATCCGTCTGTGGAGCTCTTAAGGGTTTTGACCTTATTCTAAGGCAGATCTCACCCATTTTATAGAAGTTATAATTTCCTCATGATACTAAGAACGAATCCATGCAGTGTGTTAATGAAGAAATGTGGACAAATTGGATTACCATTGTTTCTTGTCTGAACTCCAATTACTCCTTGTAGTGTGACAAAAGCCACCACCACGTCTGCCCTTCCCAAAGCCTCTCCTGAGCCCCTTTATGTAAACCCCAACTTCCCAGCGCCCAAGTGAGCACAGTCCTTTTCCTCGTGTGATTCCACCCTTAGCTGTCGGGAAGATTAGTCTGGCTCTCCCTCCAAGGAGTCGGGAATAAATGAAGGGATCAGCGTGGAGCCTTGAGGAACCCGCCGCAATTTTCCTCATGATAAATTGCATAATAAGCGCGAAAGTGTTTTGCTTATTAATCCATAACAAGATTTAGATTGAAAATGGCCTGTTACATTCCTGACGGATCCAGGACGGAGGGAGATGGAAAGGAACGGAGCAACAATGTGTGCAGGGGGTTAAGTGTGGCTCTCACCCTCCGGAGCCCTGTGGAGCTGCCTCTTTGTGCCTGATTTGCCGTGGACACAATAACGGCACGCAGCTCCTGCATGTTTTATCCGGGAGCTTTTATCTCCAGCTCCTGCTTTTAGATGTATATTAAAAAAAAATCACGTTTATTGACCAGGAAAACGAGTGGGTTTCTTTTTTTTCCCTGCTGAATTTAAGGAATATCCAGGCTGGCAGATAAAACTCGAGGGTTTGTAACTCCACCACTTGCCCAGTTCATCCCAGTCCCCGAAAGTTAGACTGTGCTGAAGGAAACTGCTCGGTTGTGATGATTAGGAGTGTTTTCCCAGCATTTTTAGGCTTTGTCTTGGCACAGATGAGGGTAGGAATCATTTTGGGCTGGATTTTTGCTTTTTCAAATAGTGTTTGATATAGGTTCTCATGCAATGGTTTGGGTTGGGAGGGATTTTAAGGATCATCCAGTGCCACCCCCTGCCACAGGCAGGGTCACCTTCCACTAGTCCAGGTTGCTCCGAGGCCTATCCAACCTGACCTTGGACACTTCCAGGGATGTGGCAGCCACAGCTTCTCTGGGCAACCTGTGGGAGGGTTTCCTTCTCCTTCTCTGTGCTCCCCTACTGATTTTGTTGGGGAAAAGAGTAACAGGAATTTACAAACCCAGCTAGTTGGAAGGTGTCCCTTCCCATGGCAGGGGGTTGGACTGGTGATCTTTAAGGCCCCTTACAACCCAAACCCGTTGGTGATTCCACGATTTCTGTGTTTGGGGAATTTTTAGGTAATGTACAGGGCATGTAGAGATTTGGGTTTTGCTTAATGGAGTTGTTGGGTCCTTACTGCCTTATTGCTTCTTGCTTTTATCTTTGTCACAGCAAGTAAAAGCCTTGAATTAAAGAGAATTTCCCTGACCAGAGGATTTCTCAGCCTGTGTTTCAAATACTGTAAAAGACCAAACCATAAATCCTTGGGAAGACGCTCCGGGCTGGCCTCTCCCTCCTTGGGTGATATGTATTCAGCACATACAGATAATTTGTTAACAAGGCCTTTTCCCCACTTTGGACAGATGCACTCACTGTTTTCAATCTTCATGGTTAATTATTCGATTTGGGGTTGATGCAGGAACACCCTGACTCCTAATCACTGCTCATTGTTGGGAGTCCATTATCCTGGAACTGTCGGAGTGCTCCCGGTGACCTTGAACTGACATTATAAGCTGGTTCTAATCTTTTCACTCTATATTTCTAATGCTCCTTTTCTTTGTCCCTGCCTTTGTCCCGGCCCTGTGTTTAGCATCACAATGGGGCTGCCCCTGAGCCCGGCGGCCGACTCGGCGCGCTCGGCCCGGCACGCGCTGTCCCTCATCGCCACAGCCCGCCCGCCCGCCTTCATCACCACCATCGCCAAGGAGGTGAGCGGGGCACCCGCAGCCAGCCAGCCCCAGGAACAGCCCCGGGAGTGCTGGGGGGCCCAGGGAGATCCACCCCCCCCAGACTGGTTCTGTTTGATGAGTCCGGTTTGATTTGTTGAGTCCCGGTTGGAGAAGTTTCCAGAGCACTGTGGAAAATCCTGCTTGTTTCAAGCAGTGCACACGTGACCCTCCAAGTATGAATTCTGATGGAATGGGGACTTTCCCCTGGGGTTTGGAGGATGAGGGGGACAGGAGAGCGCAGGGGGTTGGTGTAGGCCAGGCGTGGTCTGTCCAGGGTGGTGAGCGATGCCAGAGCAGGGGGAGCTCGGCCAGGCCAGAGGACGAGGCGGGACGGTGACCCTGGTGGTGGTGCCAGGGCACGGTTGGGCTGGGTGACCTGGGGGTCTTTTCCAGCCCCGGTGGTCTGAGGTGTGTCCCCTGTCTCTGCAGGTGCACAGGCACACAGCCCTGGCGGCCAACACGCAGTCGCAGCAGAACATCCACACCACCACCCTGGCCCGCGCCAAGGGCGAGATCCTCAGGGTCATCGAGATCCTCATCGACAAGATGCCGACCGACGTCGTGGACCTGCTGGTGGAGGTGAGGCCGAGCTGGTGCTGCAGCCGTGGGGTGTGTGCCTGCAGTCCAGCTGTACAGGTGCTCTCTGCATTGGCTCTTGGATGTGGGGAAGATTTGGTTTATACCGAGTTCATTTTTGAACTTTAAACTGCATCAAATTGCACTGTTGGGGAACAAATCCCCAGGGGAAAAAGGTCAAGGCCAGGTTGGACAGGGCTTGGGGTAACCTGGTCTGCGGGAAGGTGTCCCTGCCCATGGCGGGGGTGGAACTGGATGGGCTTCTCTGCTTTAACTGTGAGACAGAAAATACAAATTGTCAAACTGATTTTCATTTTTGTTTCCAAGGTGATGGACATCATCATGTATTGCCTGGAAGGATCTTTAGTTAAGAAAAAGGGTCTTCAGGAATGTTTTCCAGCCATCTGCAGGTAAGCTGTTCCTCCAGGAATTCTGTGAAGTAAATGATAGGACCACCAGCAGGATGTATTAACTGAGAGTGAAACAGTGTTTTGGATGACACTGACCCTGTAAAACAACAAATAGTAAAATGTGATTTATAAAGCGGGCACATTTCCAGTATCTTTAAACTTGGATAAATATCCCAGTTATCCTCTTTAACTGGTCCAACCAATAAATTCCAATAATCACCTGTCAGCCATAACATCTTAATTTAATAAGCTATTAAAATATTAAATAGTTTCAAGGAAAGAACAATTATCCTGTTGCCAGGTAGGATACTGATGGAGGTGATTTTCCTCCTTCCTGATGCTTTAAAAGGCTTTCCTTAAAGCATAAAAGCAGGGATAAGTGGGAATTAGTGCAAAAACCTCCCTATTCCTGTTGTATATTTATAGCTGTACAGTATTTTTAAAAGTGTTGGCAATTACTGGTAATATTTCCTGTTTATAGCCAGGATAAAAATGATCCAGCACCCACTGACGGGATTGTTGAGCCCAGGGAAAATTGCCATCAGGTTGTAGCAAATGGGGGAATCTCTGGAGAGATTCCAGATGGAAGTGCTGGGACATCATCCTATTGTGAATTCCTGTAATATCCCAGTGTTCCTTTCGCTGTGTTGCCGTGTGTGCTCACCTGCTGTGGTGAAACCATCCAGGTGTGCAGCTCCTCTTCCTCGGATCAGAGGGATAGGAGGAGCGGACTGAGGGGACAGGCCCAGCTGACATCCTTGGGAATGCAGGCACAGGGATGCAAACCTGCACCTCAGCTGCATTTTCCCTTTTTTCCTGCGCAAAAACTAGTGATTTTCTTGCTTTTTATTCTTGATTGGCTTTTTTCCCCGTTCCATCCTGGTTTTCTGCCACGCTGTAGGAGTGTCTGGGACCTGCGTGCGAGCAGTTGCTATGGCACTCTGGGAATCCTGAGGAACGGGGAGATAAATCACTGGAAGATTGGTTGTTTGAGGCCATAAATATGCTCAGCAACATGTTTTTAGGGACTGATTCCAGATATTTCTGGCAGATTTTGGTGTAGGAAAATTTAACTGTAAAATTCCAGTGTAAGTGGAAGCGCAGTCGGCATTTTCACAGGTCTGCTCTCCTTTTGTCAGGGAAGGCACAGTGTTACCCCCAAGGATTTGAATATGCAGTAAGGATTTGGACTCCCTTGGGTTTCCAGGTGTTGAAATTCCTTGGATTTTGCAGTTGGAATTCCAGCTGATACCACGCAGTCACACTGGGCACTAAGGACTATGCCAGGCTTCACCCCAAGGATATTACTGGGTTAGGGAATGTCTTTCTTTTTTCTCTATGCCCATCAAAAATTGATGAGTTTGCATATTTTTCTTTGCACTTCCCTTTTTTCCCCGTTTGATTCTCCCAGGAAATGCCCTGAAGTCACGCAGGGTGCTGGATTGTCATTTAACCATTTGACTTCCAGCTTTACTGAGGGGCTGCAGTACAAAGTGTGTATCCCACGTGGGCATGCAGGGTGATTACCCCGTGGGTTATTCCCAACATTCTGTATCAAATCTGACAGTTAAATGGGATTCCATGGTAACGTATCAAACATCAGGTGTTTTCTTGTGGAATGCTAAGTATTAAACCGGCAGCGGGTGGGTTTTTAAATCCCATCCGTGCTCCAACCCTTCATGAATGATCCAGGGGCATCACAAAGGGGTTTTCCTGCGGTGCAGGCAGGGCAGGCCTCACCTGCTGCCCGTTCCCCTGTGCCGAGCAGGTTCTACATGGTCAGCTATTACGAGCGGAGCCACCGCATCGCCGTGGGAGCTCGGCACGGGTCAGTGGCGCTCTACGACATCCGCACCGGCAAGTGCCAGGTACGTCAATCACGGGGGATTCCTCCCTCCCCTGAAACCCAGCAGCTCTGCACCCACTGAACCACTGTGGGTAACGCCCAGGGGATCAATGGTTTAGTGAAGGACTCGAGGATATAGAGTCCCACTGGCTCCGTTCCCTGGGGCTGCAGATTTTTTTGGGGCTGCTCAGGAGACATGGAATAAGGTGAGGATGGTGTGGCTGAAGAAGTTGTGTCAGTGGAGAAAAGCTGAGAATTTTTATTTCCTTTTGTTACAAAAGTTAAAAAGAAACAGTGAGGGGTTTGGGGTTCCTGAAAACCATTTTTGGGTTGTTTTTAGGAACTGATTGAGAAATGACATGGAATGATGAATAGGATGATGGCTATCATGAATCCCCTTTTTAACAAATAATCAACATTGAACTAGGATAAGGTTTTGTCCAGTAAAATTTACTATATTAGTAAGTGCAGTAAATTAGTAAATTGTGTTCCAAACACATATCTTTTTAATCCATTTTTCCACAATTGGACACAGAGATCAGACCCTCTCTCCTTCCTCCTACACCCTTCCCGAGGGTTGCCGGTGTTGCAGCGTGGGATGGGGCTCGGCAGGGTTTTTGGGATGCTGTTTTCGGCGCTGGGAGCTGGGCAGTGCCCTTCCTGTGCCGGTATTGATTTGCCCTTCAGCTGCTGGCAGCTCCCAGAGATCCCAGGGCCGGGTGTTGATTATCTCCATCTCGGGAGCGGTATTGACCCGGAGCCGCTCGCTGCCGATGGCCCTTGATTTTTCACACCGTCTCCATGACACTCCTAATAAAACAAACCGGCTGATTGCTCCGTGCCTCTGGAAGCCAGCCCGTCCACACCGAGAGCTTTTCCCTCCAGGAGCCACTTTGGAGGTGGTTTTGTCCTCCGTTCCAAGGGGGATCCGTGCCCTGTGCTTGGACTCTGTCCCACATGGCATCGATAATCTGCTGTATTCCCCCCTCACGGTTTCCCCTGCACATATTCTAGGAAAGCTGAAGCTCAGAATTCCTTAAAAAACTAGCTGAGCTTCGGCACAATTTGGGAAATAAATATCTCTAATGTCTGCAGCTGAATCCATGTAGCATTTTCCATTCCTGGAGAGGCAGTGGCTTTGTGACCAGAATATTTATAATGCTTTAAAAACACGGATTCCAAGGCAGATGATGGGAGATGAAGGCTCTGTTGGAGGATTTCCCAGGTGGATGGTGTGTGGAGCAGCCCCCCCGGGAGCTTTGTGCCTCACACAGGTTGTCACTTTTAGGCTGAGCTAAGGCACAGATTTAGAACGGAGTGTGGTTCTCCCTGCTGGAATTCAAAGGGATGTGGGGGGAACAGGTTTGTGGGTGTTCTGTGCTCAGTCCCAGAGGGATGTTCGAGGGGATAAAGGTCTCTCCCAGCCATTCCAGCAGGATTTGGAGCACTCCCGCTGAGCTGTCTGGAACTGAGTCCTGGTTCTCAGGTATTGCAAAGGTTAAACTTTATCAGCTTCCAAAAAAAAAAAGGTCGAACTTCCATCAGCACCTTCCCCCTCCCAACCCGCCGAGCACGATTTGATGATGATTATTGATCCCTTCCCAGCTTTTCCCTCGCTCTGGCCTTGATGTCCGGATAGCGCTGCATCCTGCTAAAATAAGGCTCCATCTTGATCAGGGCTGAGATGAGATGCTGGGATTTGATAAAGATAATTGATGGTTCACAGGGAATTGGCAAACAGTTCCGAGGGCAGGGCGCCAGCTCCACCTGGAAACGCGGCCTTTGTTTTCCCAGTGTCGCACCCCAGGGCCACGGAGCCCAGCCAGACACGCTCGAAGCACAAATGGCAATTTTTATCCCAAAATAAACCACTTAAAATGTCAGAGCAGGCTCAGCTGACGCTCAGGAGGAAGTGTCTTGGAATAACAAGAATATTAGAAGGATTAGGCAGCGTCGTTAAGGTATCGCTCAGAACAAGCTCTGTTTGCCCAGTTAAATATTGGAAGAATATTAAATTCCAACCAAATTATTAATATTTTGCATGAGATTCCTAATTATCAACACACAATCCATAGAATTATTATTTCAAGTTCTTTTCAAGTCAGATAAATTCCTGCTGGGTAACAGAGTCTGGCCCAAAACCCCCCACTTCGTTCCTCTGTACAGGCTGTTTAATTATCTTCTTTTCCTTTAGGAATGTATTTGGGTCTGTAAGGAGAGACTTTGAAATATTCCATTTTTATTGATTAAATCTCGGGGTTCATCATTAATATTTAGAGCTGCGGTTCAGAGATACTTGTAATTTTTGTATCTAAAACCTCGGTCATTTGCACTTGAAGATTAAAGAGAAACATGAGTTATTTTGGGTTTATTTCAAAGCAAGAACTGCTTTTAAGCCTGGGCTGGAATCAATAATGTTTGGTCCTGGGTCCTTCCAGAATTAAAATCCCAGCAATCCGAGCGGTAATTGAATTGTGCAGGGGCTGATTTTATTTCAGTCCTGGATGCCTTGGCAAATTTGTATTTATATGGGAGGCAGAAAATGATTTAATATTCCATTTGGAATGAATAGTGGCTCGGCTTAATTAAGTTTAATTACAGAATAAAAGATGCTGTCCTTGAATATGGTGCTTTAAAGGTGCTTATCCTGCAATCCACACCTGGCACTGCATTTCCAAGTCCAGGGGAGGCAGGAAAACCTGTTAGGGGAAACCCACATCTCTGCATTTCAGGAAGAAGGTAATTATTGAGTATAACCTTAATTGGATGGGCCAAAGCCCTGTTCTGAACATGCCCAGTGACACAGTTAAGGGATTTTTGATTCATTTATTTCATCCTTAAGAAGCAAATCCCATCTACCTTAGGGAAAAAATAATTCCCAGTGTCCTGAGCTGGAAGGGACCTGCATGGATCGTGTGGCTGCCCCATCCCTGGAAGTGTTCAAAGCCAGGCTTGGGGCAACCTGGGCTAATCCAGGGGCAAAAATGAATTTAAAGATATAAATATTGATGTTCTCTCAGTCCACATAGAATTTCCCCTCATTTCCACTGAGTGTTCCTTTAACTGCTCCAGAGCTGAACAGTTTGGAATGAGCAGCAATGCTGTGGGTTTGCTGCACTTCCTCCTGGAAAACACAAGCTGAACACCAAGAAACTCTTGGCTGGAAGGGATTAGCATCAATTAGAGAAGCACTTCCTTTAAATAACAAAGCAGCTGGATTCCCTGAGGGATTTGTACATTTGGAATGTATTGCAGGAGAGTAAAAAGAGCAACAAGTGTTGTACGAATTGATTTTCTACCTTTGTCTCTCCCAAACCTGTTTTATTGACAAGTTTTCCATGCCTGGTAAGTGCTAAGGAGTGGGATGGGGCTAAACAGGGGATCAGCTAATTAAAGGCCCCTTGAAACTGTGCTGATTCCATTCAAGGGGGAGATTTGGGCTTCACCCACCTTTTCCAGGAGGAAAAAATGAATATTTTAATGGGTTCTGAATATATCAGGCTAATTTCAGGTGCAAATGAATAATGAGCAAGTCTTCATCCTTCAGTAACCCAGGGACGGGCACAGGAGCACTGATAATGGGGTTTTCCTAATGCTGATCCAATAGAAAAGGGGATTTTCAGTGAGACATTCATGTGGTGGCTTTTGGACCTTTTCTGGGGGTACCAGTTGTGGGAGAGGAGGTCGTGGGCGAGTGCAGGGCTTCCATTCTGAAAAGTTCCTGTTAAAGACTCATTTATGTTCATAGTCCTGGCAATTCCTTTGGTTTAAAGACTGGATTGGGCAGGGGGTGCATCCCAGGGATGGTTTGATTCACATGTTTGATTCACAAGCCTTCAGCATGCTTACAGGGGTTGGGATGGTGTTTAAGCACGTGCTTAAATCCCTGCTGGTGAGACATTTCCCACATGGCTGTTCTCTCCCCTGCCCAGACCATCCACGGCCACAAAGGACCCATCACCGCCGTGGCATTCGCCCCTGATGGCCGGTACCTCGCCACCTACTCCAACTCTGACAGCCACCTGTCCTTCTGGCAGGTAAGGGCACCTTCCCACCCCTCCTTCCCTGAGGAACTCGGGCTCGGCACTTGGTACATTCACTTCGTGCATTAAACTGCTTCAGGGAGGGAAAAATCCTGAGGGAGAGGCTGGAGGGGGCTTGGGGCAAGCTGAGCTAGTGGAAGGTGTCCCTGCCCTGGCAGGGGGGAGAATGAGATGATCCCTAAAATCCTTCTAGCCCCAACACAAAGAGTTAAACATCCTGCACGTTTAGTTTTCAAATGTGACCTCGTGTGCTGGTGATTTTTCCCTTCCGTGTCCCGTTTGGCACGATTATTAATGCAGGGAAATCGGGAGCATTAGTCATCTTAAAAGGGTTATTACTCAAGATGATTTAAATTGTGAAAATGTCAGCGAGGCTCGCACGCTCCGGCTCCAGATGCTGTGATTTACACCCTCTGACACGAGGAGAGCCGGGGAAAAGGGATGGCTTGGACCTCAGACTGCTCAGGATTCAGGACGTGGCATCAGCAGTAGCACACCTTAAATATCCTGGGGTTTGCCAAGGTCTCCTGGGGATGGGAATCCTGGAGTGGGGAGAAAGGTTGGGAGAGTCATATCTCAGCAGAGTGAGTCAGAGAATCTCATCTTTAAAAACCTGGGGAAAAGGAAATCAGCAGTGTTTGGCCTGTTTTCCAAAGAGCAGAACTCAGTAGATCTCTGGGAGTGTTCAAGGCCAGGCTTGGAGCAATCTGGTCCTAGTGGAAGGTGTCCCTGCCCGTGGAAAGGAGTGGAACGAGATAACCCTTTAGGTCCCTTCCAAACCAAACCATTCCACAATCCTTCTGAGTGGCCTCTGGCTCAGCCTCAGTAAGGGTTTAAGCTCCCTGCTCACGGTGGTCTTGGGGCTGTTTGGGAGGTTTGGGAAGTTAGGGAGGAGCTCCAGGTGTACCTGGAAGCCCCCGGAACACAGATCCCCCGTGTGTGCCGTGCAGATGAACACGTCTCTGCTGGGAAGCATCGGGATGCTGAACTCGGCGCCGCAGCTGCGCTGCATCAAGACGTACCAGGTGCCGCCGGTGCAGCCGGCATCGCCCGGCTCCCACAACGCCCTGCGCCTCGCCCGCCTCATCTGGACCTCCAACCGCAACGTCATCCTCATGGCCCACGACGGCAAGGAGCACCGCTTCATGGTCTAGGTGGGGCCAGGCTGCGCGGGCACCTCTGCCCTCGCTGGGGGCACCGTGGGGGGGGAAAGGAGGGCGGGGAGTGCTGGGGATCTGAGGGGCTGCGGCTGGGCCGGGGGGTCCTGCCCGGCTCTGAGGGGCTGATCCAGGCTCTGAGGGAATCCATGTGATTCTGAGGGCTCATGCCGTCTCTGCTGGCCGGTGACAGTGATCTTTCCTTGCCTGCAGGAGGAAGCAGGTGCCGGCAGGGGAAGAGGGTCCTGGCGTGGCCTGGCAGAGCGGGATCAGCAGCACCTCGTCCCGACCCGCAGCGGCAGCTCCAGCTGAGCCCGGCCCCTCCTCACTGGATGTCATCCAACACCTCTCCCCTCTGGAGCCTCCCAGAATGTCAGTGTTTACCAAACGGCTCGTGTTTACATGGACTTCCTCCCCGTGACCGTGGAATGATGGTGGGTGACGCAGCCCAGAGCCAGGTAACTGCTTGGGAATGGGGAGGGCTGGAATTTGGGAGTACATGGCCTGTGTGGTGATCCCAAGGGGATAAAGTCTCTGTTTCTGAGGGAATTGGAAGTGCTGCTGTGCCCAGTCCAGAAGGAAAAATAATGGTGTAAATAAATAATTTAAAAATATCTTTAAATGGAACAGCAAACTTGGAAAAAAGGAGTATATATATATATAAAGGTGGTTTTTGCTACCAATGCAGGTATTTATTTAAATAAAGGACAAAGAGGAGCCATTTGGGCTGGAGAAATGATCAAAAACTGTGGAAAAAGTGAATTATTGACTGGATATACTGAAATATTTCCGTCAGTAGGAATATTCCTATGTAACACTTACTGTGACTGTGTTTCCTTCTTACATATCTAATTTTGTGGAATATTTAGTGTGAAATTCGCTGGTTTCTGCTCATGGGACAGAGAAGATTCTCTCAAATGCTATTTTACTTAAATGTCTATTTGTCCAGCTTTTCCTTGGCTGCAGAGCTTGGAACTGAGGCTGGCCCTACATGTTAAACTAAAAACGGTACTTAGAGAATCAAAAAAGAATAAAATTAATTTCTCAAATGGCTTGTAAGGATAAAATGCATTTATTTCATTCTTATTGTCAGTTCCTCATGCAGTGCTCAGGTGAGATTTGCAGCCCAGGAGCTCCATATCTATTTACTGTTTTAATTCAAAAGCAGGAAATTCAGACCATTAGGAATGTTGAACCCAAACTGCTGGGAAGTTCCATCTTTCCCGGTGGATATTCCTGGCCCTGTTGTCATTCCAGTGTGAGTTTTCCATGCTGTGTCCATTGTTAACGCTGTGTTAACGTCCTTGTAAATGTAGAGGTGTCCGTGGCTTCCCTGGCAGTTCCCAAGCGAAAGGTGACACGATGGGACACCTGGATGAGAGTGGGGTGATGGAAGTCACCGTGTGACTGGTTCCAGTGTCTGCTTCTCCAGCAATCCGCTCCCCGCCCCGTGTATGGGGTACAATTCCCAGTGTAAATATGCTTGTGGAATAAAACTGAACTGAAACATGTTGGTTTTCATGGGTGTCAGTAAATCCCTGCTGCTGATTTATTGCCCAGTAACTGGAAATCTTTCACTGTTTAAGGAGTTTGTCCCTTTCTGTTTGGAAATGGGCAGGAATGAGAGCAAAGGAATCAACTGGAATAAACAAACCTGAAATAAATAAATAAACAAACCTGAAATAAATAATTAAACCTGAACCGAACACCCCCTGCCGGTCTGTGGGAGGCTCCCGCCCCTCAGGGCTGCGCGAGCCCCCTCTGCGCTGCCCCCTGCTGGGTTGGGGGCGCCTCGCGCCCCTCAGGAATGGGCGGGAAAGGTCCGCGCCCCTCACGGGTGCCTCGGACAGCCGGGCCCGGCGGCCGAGAGCTGAAACCCCGGCGGAGCTGGAATCACAGCGGGGCCGGGCCTGGACGGAGCATGAGGAACAACATCGCCTCCCCAGACACGCCGGGATGTGGGATATGGAGAATCCTGGAACTGCAGAACAGGTACATTCACCTGAGGGCGGGGAGGGGGCGGGAATCAGCGCCGGGATGTGGGATATGGAGAATCCTGGAACTGCAGAACAGGTACATTGACCTGAGGGCGGGGAGGGGGTGGGAATCAGCGCCGAAATTTGGGATACGGAGAAACTTGGAACTGCAGAACAGGTACATTCACCTGAGGGCGGGGAGGGGGCGGGAATCAGCGCCGGGGCTGGCTGGGGCTCGCAGACATTGCTGGACGTGCAAACACCTCTGCAAAGGGCCTTGCCAAGATTCGTGAGGGCGCAGGGAGGGTCCTGCTTGAGGAGTTCGAAATTCATGAGGGGATGTGAGATCATTTGCTGCTGTTAATTTTGGCAGGAGGGCGATGTGTGGTGTGTGCCCTCCGGGAAAGCCTGTTGTTGTGCCCTGTGGTGGCCTGGCAGGGCTGGCCCTCGATGCTGCCCGTGGAGCAGCAGCACGCAGGTCCCTGCCCTCACTGCCCGTGTCTGTGGGAACAGGGTGGGCGTGTTGCTGGGGGCTGGTTTCCTCCTGGAAGGATGGAGGAGAGGGAGCTGTCATGCGGAATCCAAAGCCCTCGCTCATTCTTTCCCTGTCATTTTTAAGGATGATCCATAACGTGTGAACATCACCCGCAATCTAGGCCTAATTGCATTTCTCCAGCGGGCAGGCGGCGCTTCCAAGGAAGCTTAAATGAGCACTTAAGGGATAATGCTCGGAGCGGCTCCGGGGGTGGGGAGGCTCCTCACAGCCAACTCCCCCAGCGCTTTTATCCCGGAGTTATTGGGCCATTATGGGCTACGATTGTCTTTTACTGCCTTGCATTTCTTTGCTGTCAGCCGGGAGGGAAGGGATGTGTAACATGACCCAAAGTGGTCTTGTTTGTTTTAATCTGCTGGTTTAATATCTTATGGCTTCCTGCCATTATCCCTTTCTGCGCCGGACCCTGGAGTCGCTCCCGTAGGTTTGCGTGGAGGCCAAAGGCAGCTCCCAGAGGGTGCAGCCTGTGCAGGCGGAGCTGCCCTTGTCTTGTTCTCTGTGTGGGGGGGGAATCCACAGTGGTTGTTCCCACCCGACCGTCCCACCCTGCTGTGTCGCCGGTCTCCAGTGTTTTTTAGCTCCTGGTTGTTTTCTTTAAGCACCTCCATCCCGCATGTGCTGAAAATACGTATCGGTGGTATTGCAGAAGCTCCTGCTGTTTCCCCCCCCCCCCCAAAGAAATATCCTCTCATCCTGCCCCCTTGGTGCGGGTGTGCAGCATTCCCTGCGGGAATGCCCACAGGGCTTGAAGTGCTGCGGAGCGCTGGGATCAGGGAAGCTGCCGGCACTTCATCTGCAGTCGGGAGGGGCCCGCGCTGTGCTCCCTGCGGGTCCCGCACGGCAGATCATTACTGTCAAGTTCCTCCTGACGGATGGACTGCCGGCACTGCCCGAGGAGGAGGAGGAGGAGGAGGAGGCAGTCCCTCCTCAGGGCTGGGCTGCTCTGCCCTGCAATGCGGGTGAAGGTTTTGGGGGGCACCCCGGGGTCCCCACCACGCTCCGGGGGGGGGGGCAGGGACACCATCCAGCCTGGCTGCCACGGGGTGTTCCTGCACCCCTGCCGTGGAAGTGCTGTTTTGCTGGTTTGTTTTTTATCGCTGGTGACCAATCTGAGGGGCTTAACGCATTTTAAGCTGGAATAATCGTGTGGCCCCTGGCAGGGTTAGTGAGTTGAGGAGAGTTCACAAAAATGAGCTCCAGCGGGGACAGGGAAGTTGATCCCTTCACCCTGGGTACAGAGTCAGCCCTGGACCCCAGTGCCTGGCACTGGGACAAGCTGATGCTGGTACAGCATCCCAGCCCAGCTGCAATCCTGCCACCCACCCAGCTCATCCTTCAGCTTTTTGGCAGCTTAATGAAATGGTCCCATTTCCTTCTCCCAGCTGTGCCCACTGCTAAGTGCCTGCAAAATGCATTCCCGGGAGAACGATCCCGCAAGTGCAATGGAAATGACCCGCCGTGGCTGCATTAGTCTCGGTGTCGCTGCTTTTCCCTCTTTGCTGTGACGGTGATTTTCCCCTCCCGGCGGCTCACGTGCTCCTCTCCCTGCCCTGCAGAGGCTGCTTAGGAAGGGGGCCACAGGATCCCCCTGCACTCCCCAGGCAGAGGGTGAAGGGAAGGAGCCTGGCAGAGCCACGTCCCGGGCTCTGTGACACAGAGTGCTGAGGAGGCACGTCTGCCTTGATCTGCGCCCGTGGCCACTCGGCAGAGTGAAATGAGGCAGGGTAAATTTAATTAATGGCAGAATCTGGCTCAGGGTGAGAGAACAGGGACACAGAGAATGAGCATGAAAACAAATTTTTCAGTAAGTTTATTAACCCCAAGGTGAAACTTGGGTGCCAAGGTTAGATCCCAGATAACAAACCATGCAGTGCCTTGTTGCTGCCCTGGGGATGGGACGTGGAGGTGTCTGTGGGGGTCTGGGGTTCTACTTGTGCCCTCCCCTGGCTCCGGGTGGGCAGAGGGATGGAGCTGGAGAGAACTGGGGTGGAAAAAACCCTGGAAAAAAATAGGAACTTTTGATTGCACAAGGAAGCAAAAGTGTTGTTTTCCTCCTTTATTGAACTTTGGCAAATAATATGTGTGTGTGGGTTTTACATCAATAGCTATAAATAAAACTTTGAAAGCAATGTAATACTTGTCATTGAGATAAAGGACATCTATTGGCACAAATCAGTGAGTAAAAACCCTTTAATGATAAAATAACATTCACTCTTTAGCTACTTTATTTGTCTGAAAAACTCAGCTTACACTCAGTTCAACATATCACCTTCCACAAAGTTAAAAAATGACATAAAATGACATAATAAAATAGACCTTAAATTTCATAATACAAGTACCTTGGCGCATGGCGGGCAGCTGGAGCAGCTCGTGCCCCGCGGTGCCGCTGCCATGGCCTCACATACCCCTTGTTGCCTTTGGACTGAAAAATGCAGGTGTAGGTTTTACAACAGCCGCGTGTCGGTGAGGAGTGGTGGGATCTGCCCAAACCATCCCGGGTCTGCTTATTGCGGAAGAACATGGAAAGCTTTCTGGAAGATTACCCACTGTTACAATCATCAACTGTCTTACAAAAACCCCTGTTTAAAGTTCTTGTATCTGTTACTGTCTTTGGCAGAGAAATAAGGAAAGAAAATAACCCGACTATATTACACAGCTTTCATTATCACCACAACCTACCGAGTAAGGCCAAATAAAAATGTCTCTTTGCACTAATGAAAGCACATCTCTAAAATACCCTTAATGACAGACGATATCAACACTCTACTGACGGACTCAGATGCCTCCTCAGAAGACTGTGGCTCCCCTTTCCCCAGGCCACACTCTTCCACACAGAGTGAAGTGTAGGGAGCAGTTGGTTTGGCTTTATGTGCAGTGTGACCCGGGGCTGGGGGGGACAGCAGGGCTCGGGAGCTGCCCCCGGGGGGAAAACACAACCCAGTCAGAAATGGGGGCTCGAGCCTGAATCCGGCTGGTGACACGGGGGACAAAGCAAAGGGTATAAAGAGGTATAAAGCACCGTAGCAAACACCTCTGACCCCAGGGCAGAGGGGGTGAGCGAGGGGCTGCTCCCTCCAGCAGGAGCAGCGCGGGGGCCCATCCCAGGCCTGTCCGCAGGGACAGGGGACGTGGCTGGGACAGCTGCTGATCCCACACTCGTGTGTCCTGCCGGGCACCTGTGCTGGCACAGCAGGCACTGGGCAGGAGTCACAGGTGAGGCCAGGGATGGGCGCCCACCGTGTCCAGAGCCTGAGCCCCCACCCTGGCTGGCCCCCCCCATGCCCCAGGGCTGCCATAAAGCCAAAGGAACTCCTGATCCTGGGGAAAAACGCACAGTTGGCTCCGTGGATTTTCACCTGACTGAACAATCGAATTGGCTGGGAAGAAGCTGCCACTTGGCCCAACTTCTCCTCAAATTGCAGTTTCATTGAACTGGAGTTGAATTTGGCCTGTTTAACACACGGGCAGCGCAGAGCTGGTGGAACACCAGCCCTGAGCAGCAGTGACCCCCACGGGGCACAACTGGCCGTGTTTTCCCAGTGTCAATGCAAACACAACTGCGCCATGACTGCGAACGGGTAACAGGCTCCATGCATAAATAAATACCACCAACAGAAAGACCTCATCCCAAACCCAAAGGAATAAGTTGCCATTAAGAACCACGATGCATCACACTGCTAAGGGTTTGCCTCATGCATAAACATGGGAGTGCTGATTGGCAGTTGCTAATTATAATTATAACACTACACCGTCACACAGGACAATCAGCTCTTCAGACCAAGTAGCACAAATGTAGAAAATAATCCTTTTTTTTTTCCTCATTTTTCTTTTTTTTTTCCCCTTTTTTTTCCTTTTTTTTTTCCCCCCCAACAGAGCAAATGAACACAGATTGTTTCTTCAGCAAAATATGAAACTGTAAACTTTGGGCTCATTCTGCAACTTTTCCCCAATCCATAATAACAAAAGAAAACCCAAGGGGAAGAAAGACTGACGTACATTTTTAAGCGCACCTTCTCCGTCTAGTACAAAAGCACAACCTAAAACGTATAAAGCTTTTTTCTTCTCTTTTTTCTTTTTTTTTTTTTTTAAATCACAGTTACCAAAAAGAAACAGTGAATAATTTATTACATACGCTATAATAACATTACTCTAAACAGCTACTCTCTATGAGGTATATCTGAGAAAACTCGGTGAGGGATTGCACGGTCTGCGTTGCCAACATGCCCAGTTTGTAATAAAGCTTTGGAACCATGGAGAGAGAGAGATCGGGGAGAGGGAGGAGGAGGAGGAGGAGAGCCTTTGGTATTTTCAGGAGTCTGTTCTTTGCAGGGCTGCATTGCAAAGCACCACAGTACAAAGCCCACCAGGTACGATTCAGCGGCCCAGTTAAGCTGAGGTATTCACAGGAAGAATAAAAAAAAGCACAGAGAGGTCTAGACTGGCAAAACGGTTGCTTTGGTTCAAGCAAGGCACTCGTCCCGTGGTAACGTCACTCTGCAGTGAAGCTGAGTCTGGTGGGACCCTGCAGGACCTGCCAGCTCTGGGGACGGTCTGTGTCCGAGGGCACCGGGAGCGGCGGCTCCCCCGCCCGCAAGGCATCCTGAGATTATTATAGCTTTGTATTGAAGGAACAGAGAGAGAGAGAGAGAGAGAGAGAGAGAGAAGCACACTTGTCACATCCTACCGCTTCCAACACAGACCTAAAGCCCAAAAGAAACACAAAATAAAAGGCAACACTTAATGAAAGCGGAGCGTTTGTGTTGAGCTGCCGGTAACCTCTGTGAATCCAAGGGCATGGCTCAGGCACATTCCTTAGGGAAAGGCCCTGCAGCAGCTGGGCTGGGGCCTGGGGGGAGCCCAGGGGCACAGAGCAGCGGGGAGAGCGAGCAGAGCCCAGGGGTGGATTCAGCTCCTCCGAGTGTCGGTTCAGTCACATAAACAGGATAAACCAGGCTGCAAGACCCAGATGCCAAAGGGCACTGCTAATTCCCCAGCCAACCAACCAACTTGGAAATAACCACTCAGGAGCGTGATGCTAATGGAGCTTAATGTAGCCTCGCTTCATTGCTAACTTGAGAAAAGTAATTAATTGATTTTTATCTGAAAACTGTAATTGTAAACAACAACCAAAGGTGAGGAGGAGGAGGGAGCAGCCCCTGGATCTGCTGTGCCCGCCGGGCCAGGTCCCCATGGAGGGCACGGGGCAGGAGAACCCCCTCCCTGGAGCGCAGGAGAGCCCTGGGCTCTGCTCACCCCCAGCCCGGCCCGTGGGCTCTGCTCAGGCAGGTAAATAATAATTAGTGATGCTAATTGCTGCTGCAAATGCACCCTGCAATGGCTCAGGGGCACCTGCAGAGCCTTCCCCCAGGGAATGTCCCACGGACACAGCCTGGATTCACCTCCAGGTCAGCACAAGCACTCCCGGCCGGGACCTGGCGCGGGCACAGCTCCACAGCTCCAAACGCTTAGGCTGGCAGGAAGGCAAAGGGAACACAGAAAAGGGCGTCACCAGAACTGGCAGCTTCCAGGGAAGCGTTTCTTTGGGAATCTGGGCTCAGCTGAACGTTACTGAGGGTAGGAGAGGACGGTGGGAGCTGTCAGAGAGCACAAGCAGAATGCAGACCGCACAGAGAAAGAAATCTTTGGTATCTTTGGTATCATCAACACGATTAAAATTACAAATGGAAAAGTCAGTGAGGTAGCCTCTTTGGTTCTCACTAGAAATACAAAGGTTTTTTCTGGTTTTTGTTTTCTTTTTTCCTTTTTTTTTTTCCTTTTTCTCTTTTTTCCACACACAGAAGTTCATTCTTGGAAGCAGCTAGTTTAAGGGTTTCTCTCTTTTTGCTTGGCATGGATTATTTTACCCCCAGCTTAAGTTTTAAGAAGCCACAAAATTCAGGCAAAGTATCCCAGTGTCTTTTTTTTTTTTTTTAAACTGTTCTTCCGAACACACGGTTTTAGGTTTGAATATTCATTGCTCGTCCTCAAAGTTTGCTCTGCTGTTCTTACAGGAGATCAGCTGCAGTGCTTTATAGATAATTCTAAATCAAAAATAAAAACTCTACAAGGGCATCCTGGGGTGGTGAGGAATAAGTTAAATAAATAAGTTATAATTACGAAGGCTTCACGTGCCATAAGGAAGGTATGTTGCACTTTCCAGTCGGATGGGAGGAGATTACCTTAAATAATTTAAACTTTGATACTTAAACAATTAAAATTAACTAAAAGAGGGAACTAGAACTAGACTCTTGTTTCATGGAACGAGTTGTTTCTCCCTGTCTCACAGAACCTGGCTGCTCTGGGAAGCAACCCCAGCTCTTCAGTGTATTTACTAACAGGCTTCGCATCTCTGATGCACCACAACAGGCAAAGGGATAAATAAGCAAAATTAATCCCAAATGAGTTCATAGAGGAGTAAATTAAATAGTTGCAAATAGCTAACATGGGAGCCTGACCCCCCAGTCTGCAATCAGGCAAAACTCCCACTGAATTCAAAAACTCAAATGAGACTCAGTGGGATTCAGACTGAACAGAGATCTCAGGACCTGCCCTAAGACTAAATTAAATAAATTACATTACTGATAGATAATATACCGGGTCAAAACCCACAAGTGTCTGGAAAAAAAAAAAATTTAAGCTTTGCCTTTTTAAAAAATTTAAACAATAAAAATTCCCCTTAATAAATATAAAGGAGGCCAAGTAGAAAGTTTCCCCATGTCTTAAAAATCCTTAGGAATTGTGACAAGCAAGAAAAGCACTGGCTGTGTCCGAAGCCAGCGCACTCTTTGCAACACTGTGTAGTTACCGTGTCTTCCTTTGGGAGAGGAGGTTCCCAGTGCCTCCTGCAGGGCTGAGATCGCCCTTCCCTCCCGCAGGGATGAGCGAGGTTTGCTGGTTGAGTCCTTCTCAGGTCTTTGGATTCAGCTGTAGGTTAGAGAGATCCACAATAAAGCTATTCAACCGAAGTCATCGAGCACATTCCTTGTTCCTTCAGGGGCAATTAAAGCAATATCCAAGGTTTCTTGAAAGTTGAATTCATCTCGGCTGTGCCCACGGTTGTAACTCCAAGTTCCCGGTCCGGAAGATGCTGGGATACTCTCTGCACACACCAGTCTTTTGTAGCAGGATAAATAAAGCAACAAGTTACATTACACAGCTCTATAGATTCATAAATATATGGGCTAGAATCAGGACTTATCTGTTGGAGTTGGGATTAGGGCAGAACAGGGCACGTACTCTGCTCACACACACAGGGATCTCACCCACAGGCTGGGATTCCAAGGCTCCTCGTCTGAGGGAGCTGCTACATAAAAGCCAAGAGGGGGGCAGTGAGATGGAGGATGTCACACGGGGCCACGAGAGGTGCAGGGATGAAAAATGCAGCAGAATTTGGGGATGAAAATGGTCTGTGACTGTCGGTGTGTTTGAGTCCCCTGCCCAGAGAAAGCTCATGGTGTTGTTTGTTACCCAGCCGTAAACAAACACTTCCACAGCTTAGACACAACAAGTGATTTTACTGAGGAGGAGTTTGTAAATAATCGTAAAGGAATTTGTAAATAGTTTTGTAACTGACCTAGCACTTCCTTTGTTAGGGCTATGGGGATGAACTCTGGGCAGGAATAAAAAGCCCTCAGGGTTTATTATTTATTACTTAAAAAGCTTTATTCCATGGCTGGCTACAGGCTGCTTTTCTGAATCATGCACAGTCTGCCTGGAAATCTCTGCTGAAGGATGCTTTGATTCCCAGAGCAGGCACGTGCTGTCAGTTCAGCTGGGAGGATCCTGGATTTGCTTTCCAGAAACCTTCCCTGCCCTAAGCAGACAAGGCTTCCTGATTTTCTTTCTTTTTCAAGTGCAGTCATTGGGAAATGACTGCAGCAGTTCTGTGAAGCTGTTAAAAAGAAGCCCTTATTTAAAGGTAGAGAGGAGCAAGGTGGTACCACTGTGCTCCAGCTTTGGGGATAAATTTGGACATGTCATGATTCAGATCACTGTGACCTGGATCAACAAACAATACATATCTAATATGTCAAAACCAGCTCCTGAACTGCCACATGAACTGCTGAAAAGCTGATTTTGGTTCAGGTGGAGGTTTGGAGCGGGGCTGTGGGGCTGCTCAGCACTGACGGTGGCAGAAATCATCCGTGTGGCGAGTTTTATCCCTGGGGCAGAGGAGGAAGGGTGGAGGGTTCTGGCTGATGTCACATACAGGAGGGTATGTGACAGCTCTGGACACACAGGAGACCGACACAAAGGTCACACCCAACCCACAGGTTTTTGCTGGAGGGAGGAGACATGCCAGGGGAGTATCCCAGCATCTTGCACTTGGAGTCCGTGCAGCTCTTGGAGAGGTGCCGTGTGGGGCAGAAACAGGGAAAACAAATAAACCCACCCTTTGGGCTGCACAAAGACTCAGAAGTGTTACCTGTCCAGAGAGCAGTGGGGTTATGTGCATTAGTCGTGCAAGAGGAGAAAACAAACTGAAACACAAGTAGTGAGAATCCTCATCTTTGGTATTGTAGCTGTTGAGGTTTTGGTTGCTCTGTTCCTTGTTCTTTTGAAAAAACTGCATAGGCACAAATTAAAGACAATCTTCAACTTTAAGATGACTGGAGTTGTCAAATGAAGCAGCAATTGTACTGGTTTTGCTTTGTTCTCATTCTTGTCAACCCTTTCTTTGAGTTCTGCTTCCGAAAACATCCGAGATGTCTGTAAAACACAGTGTGGGACTCGTTTGCTTCCTGACGTGCTTCCTTGGTTTTTTTTCATTTTTATTTTATCTTTCAATGGAACAGTTTGTTGCAGAAGAAGTAGGTGCAGAAAACGTTTCTTTGGTTTCAATTAAGTAGCACATAAAAAAAGTCTCAAGTGTCTCTAAAGAGCCACGGCCGCGCTCGGTCACCAGTCACGGGGCGGCCACGGCCACGTCGGTGCCACCGGGGCGGCTCCGCTGCACGGGGTGGAGAGAGGGCTCGCAGCTCGGGAGGCTTCCCCAGCGCCACCCGACCACCCACACCAGCCATGGTGAGGAGGAATGGCAGGTTATAAACATCTTTGGCTTGCAGAAATCCTGTCTCTTTGGTGTGCTGTGTTCCCGCCGGCTCGGGCAGCAGGCGGGGAAAAGGAATTGGGGATGCAATGGAGTAGATGCGGCACGTCTGAAATGATCAGTGGCATCTGGAGGGCTTGTTTCTGTTTCTTTCCTGCTTGAAAGTACCATAAAATACTGAAAAAATGAACAGAAATACCTCGAACATTAAAAAGGTTTCGGTAACGAGGACGTTGCCGAGGACAAACCAGATTCTGGGAAACCAAAAGGGATGTAATAATGACCTAAAAAAAATCTAAATATTTCAAAACATTGTGTTTGCTCCACGTACTGTAGCAGTTCCATCGACCTCCTGAGTGTGCATGAGGTACAAACACAGACCTTGGGAGGAACTGACAGCTGTGCTTGGGGTGGTGGTGGTGTCCGCGGCGTTCCCGGGATGCCAGGCTGCAGCTGGCACAGCCAGGAGCCCAGGGCCGGGCCCGGCGCTGGAGCTACGGCTTTGTGCTTGATACTTTGAGCTCGAGGGAACTGAATTTGTCTGATCCAAGAACAAGCTGATTAAGTTAAACTAAGGAAACAAACAAAAACTGAAATTGGATCTTTTCTTTTTCTCCATAAAACACTTAACAAAAACCATGCCTGAGTTTAAAACCGGGCTCTTGGGTTCTTCGGTGCCAGACTTTGTGCTCCGTTCTCGCGGGGCGGTGTGGCCAGCACACGGCAGGAGCTCCCGCCGGCCGGGGGAACGCGGGCTCAGGAGAAACTCGCCTCGGGCATGGCTCCCCTGCGCCTCAGACCTGCTTCGCCTGTCCTGAGCTTTGCATTGTCCAGAGGGAGGTGGGAGGTGGACGTGGAACTCGCGCCTGCTGGGACTGACGGGGAGCCGTGGGAAGGTCCTCGGGGACGGCTGGGCTGGGGTGGTGGTGGGAGGATTGTGCTTTCGAAGTCACCGGTGCAGGGCCCTGTGGGAAGCCGCTCTCTCTGCCACGCCGTGCCGGCCGTGCCGCGCCGTGCCAGCCGTGCCCTCAGGCCTTGGGGCAGGTGCCGGGGGCCGAGGAGGAGCCCCCGGAGCTCAGGTCGTCCTGCCACTTCTCCAGGCTGCGCCGGCGGGCGTTCATGAAGAAGTTGCTGACGGTGGTGAGCTCCAGGCCCAGCTGCTGGGAGATGGTGATCTGCATTTCCTTGGAGGGGCGCTTGTTCTCCTTGAAGATGGCAAAGAGCGTTCGGCGCTGCAGGTCCGTGAAGACCAGGCGGGATTTCTTCTGGGAGTTGTTCCGCTCCTTGCTGGGCTCTTGCTCTTTGCGTTTGCAGGCTGGGGAGGGGTGGGCAGAGACAGAGAGAAAGGGTCAGCCTGACTTCTGCAGCGTCGTCACCCCCCTGGGCCCTGCTCCCATCTCCTGTCCCCCTTCCCGGGGTATCTCCCGCGGGTGAAGCCTTGTGAGAGCTCAGGTTGGGCAGGGTGGCAGTGCCAGACCGTGGTTGTGCCGAGTGACGCTAATGGATCCTAAAAACATCCGTATTAATAGCTCCCTGTATTTATTAGCAGAGAGAGAACAGCCAGTGCTGAAACCAATACCACTGCCGGAGCACACCCACACTTAAAAATAGCCCTGCCAGGCCGTCTGCGCCGGGCACGGGGAGAAAATCCATATTTTGACATGGTCAGGGAATGTGCCGGCACAGAACAGGCCCAGAGAATTGATAAGTGGGCGGGCTTTAAGCAGCCCTGTTAAATAATTCTGCAGGTCTGGAATGTGAAATGAACCTGGCCCACAAGCAGAACTCAGACAGTGGAAATGTCTGTAATTAACCCCAAGTCAGGCTGTAGCTGTGCAGAGCGTGGCACTGCGGGAGCCTGGCCCAGCCAGTGCCAAGTGACCCGCCTCCCTCTGTGCAGGGCACGGCATCTCACGGGACTTCTGCAGCAAACTGCAGTAGTTTGCTCCTGACCCCAAATTCCAGTGGCTGCAGCAGAGCTGCCTCTGGGAGGGAGCTCAAGGTCAGACCTCAGAATGCCCCAGAGAGCAAAAGGATGCTCCAGAGAGCAGACACGGGCTGTGGGTGAGTGCCTGGAGCAGGTCCCAGCACAGCCCTCCTGGGCACAGGGCTCCAACTGGGAGCTGTGGGAACAGGTTGCAGCATGGATGCTCCTGCCTGGACACCCTGCAGAGGCATTGAGGCGAGCCTGTACCTGTGTCCCAGTGGCCATTCGGGTCTCCAGAGGTCATTAGCCCAAAAACATCAGGAGGCAAAAACGTGGGCTCTCTGACTGCGCCTCTAGCACCCCATAGATAATGTCCTGCTGCCTGGCTGAGCTGCAAAAGCAGATTTTAGGCTGGATTTACTTTGCCGTGTGTCCAGAATCCACATGGGGATGTCCCCAGTGCTGGGGACGTGACGAGCACCGGCATCTTTGCTGCAGCTTCTAAAAGGTTCCGGGACACTGGGACGAGTGGAGTGTTTCCTCCCATCACTAATTTATGTCCAGAGATACTCTGCATTTTACAGTTATTGGTATCTGATAATAAATAATGCAGAGGGATGTGCTTTTCGATGCATTCAGTAAATACTTCCCTTGAACTGTCGAGTTTGCTCTCGAAAAGGCCCCACAAAGGCAAAGGCTGAGCCTTGTGTGCATCTCCGGGCAGAGAAAAACGGGGGGAGCACTCTAATAAAATCAGGAGATTTTCCGGGAAGAAAGAGAAGGGTTTTAAGGGTGGAGGGAAAGGAAGAGACCGTCTGGATTCTAAGCACAATTTGATTTACTGGCTGCGGTTAAAACTGAACATATTCTATGGCAGAAAATGGACAGCTGGCGAGACCTGGAAGCCAGAGCTGGGAGGAAAATAAATGGAAAAGCTTCCTTCTCCTTCCACACCGGACTAAAGGTGCTTTTACACAGAAACAAGACAGGAGGAGGAGGCCAGGGAGGGGTCTGGGGGGCTGGAGTGCTGCCCGAGCAGCCCTGGGAGAAGAGGAGCCACTTGCAGGGCCGGGATGCTGGAAATGTCAACAAAACAACTCCCGTGCCCTGCTGGTTTAGGATGTTTTTACTCTAAGGGCAAAAGTGACTTGGAAAGAGCAGGTGTTAAGAAGGAGCCAAGCAGAGCCCAATATTCCCTTAATCCAGCAGTAAGCCCTCTCTCCATGGCTCCTAAGGATAAGCTGTGACTATTGATCCCACGTTTGCGGTTCCAGGGGGGTGCAAAGTCACTTAAACCCAGTTATCTGTCTGATGGAAATAAAGCTGCTCCTCAATTCCATTTCGGAGAGGACTCAATGTGAGGGAAATGCAATTACTCTGGTAATGCTGAACACAATGAAATGACCATCCAAACGTTTTCCAAAGATTTAAAATGTTTTTCTTTCGCTGTGATTCACTTAGAGCAACCCACTGTATATCCCTGTTACGGCAATCTCTTAAAAACTAGGCCTCAGAAATCAATTTGATTACCTCTCTGAATTAAGTATGCACGAACGAGAGCGATTGGGATCAATACAAATTAGGTTAAGTACTCCACTGTGTACAAAATCATTATGGAACAAGGAACAATCACAATGAAGATGCAAATAATCACATTGTCGGGGTGGGCAGCGGGTGCTGCTCATTCCAGCTGCTGCACACACACCCAACTCCTGATTTCTGGACCCCTAGGAATGCCCTCAGTGGCATTTCTCCAGAAAAACAGATGGGAGGTGTGGCACAAAGTGTTAATTCTGGAGTTAGCTGGAGATCTCTTTGCTGACTCAGCCAATGCTCCTGTAACAGTGAGGTGTTCCCTGTTTGGAGATCCAGGAATTCCTGCAACGCTCCAAAAAAGAAGGGCACAGCCTGGCTGTTTCCAGCCAGGAAAGCATTTTCTTGGTGCCTCCCCAGGCTCTGCATCCTCAGCTTTCTGAGAAGAAAAGAGGAATTGTTTTGGGCAAGTGGCTCATTTATGTTTCTTTCGGACGTGTAGCAGCTCCCAGGCTGTTTGTGTCCAGTCTCCTGTAACTGTGCTGGCTGGCTGCAATGGGGCTGTAAATCCTGTGGGGCAGGGGCTGTTTCCTCCTGCGGTGCTGCAAGACCCCCCTCCGAGCGGGATCTCTGACGGGGTTGCTGAGAACCACTGGGATATGCTTCCCTCATTAACACGGAATAATAAATAATAGATGGGACAGGGCCAGGATGAGAATGGGAGAAGGAGGAACCAGGGCACCCCCAGGACCAGCCAGGAACTCTCTCCAGGCACGGCAGAGCTCGGGATCCTTCCAACTGCACTGAGAGTCCTTCATGTCTAACCGCTGGGAGATTTATGCTCCCTCTTGTTCAGGAGATTCTCCCTTTCGAATCCCCAAATAGTTTCCAGCTGAATTATAGCCCTTTTTGGTGACAAGGATTTATATTCCCCTTGTCAGGGCACAGGGATGAAGCCAGACCTGCCTCATGCTGAGTGCTCTGCCTGTTGGAGCAGCAGCTCCAAGTGATGCGCCGGCACATCCCTGAAAGCACCAGAACAGCTGTGACCTTCTCCTGTGGAGAAAGGGAAGTGCTTCAGGCACCTTGTCCAAGAAAGGGCTGGGAATTGAAAGCTGAAGTGGGTAAGGAAGCACTGAAGAGGAGCCTGAAATCTTACTGCAAAAGGGAAGGATCCAGTGTGTGGATCCTGTTTGCAGAAATCCTGTCCTAGAGGAGAAAGCAGGACATGAATATTTCCTTTACCGGCTGTTACTGATAGGGTGGAATTAGGAACAGGAGAGGACAGGAGCAAAGTTCTGCCAGCTTATCTGGGAAAGCCGGAGCTGTGCTGCCCTCCTGGCTCTCGGAGCTCTCCTGGCACTTCGGCCCAGGAGTGCTGAACACACGGAGCAAGAGCAGCCCCAGAGGGAGGAGGGATGTTCTGCACACACTCAGGTTCCCATTTCCTTCTTCCCAGGGGATTATGAAAGCTCAGCCTGAGCAGGAGAGGGAAGTGTCCTTCCCCCCTGGGCACCAGAGAGGTGGGGGTGAGGAAGGGAGGGGAGATGCCTAGCATGGCCAGGGGAAGGAGAAGGCACACGGAGAAGCAGGTGTGTGGAAGCTCTCAGAGGAAGATTTCCTGCTGCTCTTCCTTCCCCTCCTGCCCCTTGCCAAAGCTTAATGCCTCAGCACAGGGCCCTGCTCCGCTGCCCATTATGGGGGGATGAGAACTGCTGGAAAATCACCACTGCTCATAAATATGTTCCCTCTTACCGAGAGATATTTTGGTCTCGGAGACAATTTGTGTTTTGGGAAGCTGCCAGCCTCTATCGCTTGGCTAATAATTCCTTTGTGCAGCATTTACCAGTGGTTTGAGTCCCTCCTTTCACAATGGAGCAGTTGGATTTTATAGCTCAAAAACCCCAAACAACCCCAAAACACTCCAATTTCTTTTTTGATTGCATTTCTATCTGCCATCAGCGAGTTGTCTGGCTGATCTTATCACTGAACCCATTTGAGATTAGTCTGTTTGGTATGATTTCTGCGTGCAAAGCCCCTCCATAAATCAGAGAGCCTTTTATGCAAAAGTCTGCAAGATTGATAGAGCTGGATACAAAATCTTTTACCTTGGAAAAAGAGATGTATTATCTGTCCCGTTGGATATAAAGCTTTCCCTGCATATTCATCGCCCAAGTAGGATGGGCTTTTTCCAGAGAAGGCAGGAGACAAGATGGGAGCTACAAACAGATTGCCTTCAGAAGGAGGGGAGTCTTCTTTTTTGCTGTGTCTAGTGGGGATAAGATGAGAAGCAAAGGATTTAAAAGACAAAAAGTGAGATTAAGGCGAGTCATTAAAGATTTTTTTGTACCTGTAAGCCCTGGAAGAGATTGCCTGGCTAGCCTGGGAAATCCCCATCTCTGGAGATCCCCGAGGAACGGGGCAGACTGTCAGGACAAGTGATGTCTGCAGTCCTTTGCAGCCCTGCTTTCCCTGGGAGATCCATTCTCTGTGCCCCTGCAGAGCTTGTTTCGCTCTGAAGGCAGCTACGGGGGAGCTGCTCTGATGAGAGGAGGCTGCTGCCTTCAGTGCTCGCAGCCTGGGGACAGGCGTGTGTGCTCCTGCAGGAAGCTTCTCATCTCCCAGCAATGTCTAATTGGGAGGGAAGGAATGTCCCCTCGCAGCTGGCACATGGCAGGGACAGCCAGGACAAGATTTGGTGGATAATACCAGGGAGGAGCACTAAGGATGAGCACCTGGGGCCACAGCGCAGAGCCAAAACACCCTTCAAAGAGCGAGGGAAGAACCAGCACCACTCACTGGAAAATAATCCTTTAGGCAAAAATGTTTCCCCCTTTATGCATTCCTTGCCACAAATAAATTGTGGCAGTTTCCATCTGCAGAGGAACGTCTGAGTTTGGGATATTTCAGTTCAAATGGTGACAGGCAAGAGATACAGGAAAAAACAAGATGCTGGGGAAAAAAATCTTTTAAGGAAATAGTGAAGGAAATAGTGAAAATATTTTAAGGAAATAGCTTCAGAATGAGTAACACGTGGTGATCAATTAATTGGTTTTTTAACAAAAAAGGAGAGGGAAAAAATATGGGAGCGCATTTAATGACAAATGTGCTCAGATTTAACTTTATCAAATAATCCAGACACTGATAAAACCCGTTTGCTGCACAAAAACAGGACTCAAATTTCTGCAGGGCAGAAATGCTTTCAGAAATGATGCAGAACAAAAAAAGCGGGGGCGGGATATTATTTTGGAAAGTCGGTAGGTAGGAAATATAATTAATCACCCGGCACCACAATTTACTGCGTGGATTGTTCAAACACAACCACTAATCTATAGCCCAAGAGAGCACCCATATTTCAAGCCACTAAGCACCTTTCAAAGAACCTTTACGTACCTGTATATTCAGTGCAACGCTAAGAGATACTTTTGTATATAGATATATAGATAGATAGATAACATGCTTGATAGGGATGTTATTACGAGCTCCCTCCCCTGCATCCCGCCGCGCTTCCATCCCTCTGCTGCGCTCTCCGCGGTGCTGACGGTGCCGCCGCTCCCCCGGGCGGCTCTGACCGCGGAGGGGGGTCGGGCCGGCTGCTTTGCACAAATGAATCACCGACGGTGTTTGGGGACAAAAGTGTTTAATCATCGCTAAGGCGATTCCGCGATGGCCAAGGTAAACAGGCGGCGGAGCGCACTGCGGAGCCCGGCAGAAATCTGAGGAGTGGCCGTCGGGACCTTCCCGCGGACAGGGAGGGAGGGCGAGGGGCTTTCGCGGGGCGTTTTGCGGGAGAAACGTTTGTCCCAACCCCCCCAGAGCCCCCCGCCCCTGCCCCGGGGACGCGCGGTGTCCCCGGGAGGGCACTCGCCGCCTCCCTCGCCTGCAGCCGCAGCAGGACACGGGCACGGTGACCCCAAAACGGGAGCCCCCGGAGCTCCAAAGCCGCACGGAACCTGCTCCCAGAAAGGAGCTGCCCGCACCTTCCCGCACAGAAACCCCCGACGCGGGAGTCTCAGAGACCCCAACAAGAGATAACAAGCACGGAAATAATAAGATTAAAATAGATCGGAATAGAATAGGATAAACAACGTGATCTTCTATAATAATATGAAATGCTAAGCACACCCCTCTGCTACACCTCCCACAGGGAGAGGGGGATTTCCCTCCAAGGACAGCAGATTTTCGTCCCATTTGGGAAAAATTTTCAGGAGTATGGAGCAAAGAGCTGATGGGGTTTTTTGTTTTTCACAAGCCTAAAACACTTCAGGCTTTTTCCCCGTGCTCAGAGGGATTTAAGCAAGCAAGTAAGGGAAGCACCGAGGCAACGGAGCCGCTTATTCACACGTGGTAATAAAAGGAAATTAAAATAATCGATTTCCTGAAGGGAGAGGTAATTTGCAAAGGTCTTTCCCACTCCACGGGGAATCCGTGCCCACTCGGCGCTGGAGCTCTCTCCAAACTTTACTCCTGGATGCAAAGGCATTCAGGGGAACTGAGAAGGGGGGGATCCAGAATTAGACAGGCATAAATCTCTGTGTGTAGCTGCGATCCCTGATTTTCTGCCCTGTATGTAGGGCTCCACGGGGAATCCCCACCCGGGACCGGTGCTGGGAAGGAAAAGCACCAGCAGCGTTACTGGAAATGAGCCGGCTCAGGTTCCAGATCAATGAAAACTGGGTCCATGCGTTGATGCTCCCGTTGCCAACATTAATGCTCTTTTAATCTTCTAAACATTATCTGCATCGATTTCCCTCTGGATACGCGTTTGTTTGTGAAGGCGACACCACGGCGTGCCCGGCAAAAACCCCAAACCCCTTCTGTCCCCCTGACGCTCCTGTCACAGCCGCCCCCCGGGACCTTCCTCGGGCCGCACGCAGAGCAGAGCCGTGCGAGGCAAGGGAGGGGTTTGCAGTGGCCTTGGAGCCCAGGAGGGATCAGATCCCTCTCCCCAGCTCGGAAAAGCCCGAGCACCCTCGGAGGGGCTTTGGACACCCCAGGCCGTGGGTGTTTAAGCCGCAGCACCCTCGCTTAGGGGTCGGGCAGGGATTACGGCCATCCATCATTGCTGGTTCCTCGTCCCCCGGCTCCGCCGCATCCCCCCCCTGCTGCCCCGTGTGCGGGGACTCTGTGCCCGCTTCCCCACCCTAGGGACCCCCGTGTCCCCTCAGCCACTGCTCCGGGTGTGCCAGCGGCCACCTGCCCCCGGGGGAGCACGAACGCGCGGGGATCCATCTGCTCGGCTCAGCATCAATCGGAATGAAAGAAGGACGGGTTCGGCGGCACAAACAGCCCCGGATTTCGTCTCTGTCAGACCAGAGCCCCGGCCCGGCACCCTCCCCGCGCTGCGGTCTGTCCCACGCGTGTCTGCCCGTGCCCCAGCCCGCCCTGTGTCTGTACATGCACATCCACAGTTCCCGGTGGGGAGGCAGCCGAGCCTACAGCCCGCGCTCCCGACCGGGGGCCGAGCGGCGGCGACCCCCGGGCACCCACCGCGCTGCGGATGCCCCCCGCACGGCCGCCACCGCACGGGACAGCGCTCGCCGGACCTCCCCCGCTCTGCCCCGGTGCGGGCGCTGCCGGGGGCCGGTGCGGGGGTCAGCACCGGGGGTCCCTGCCCGCCGCCCCCCCCGCCGCGGCCCCCACAGAACAATGGGGGCTGCGCCGCCCCGTGCCCGCGCCAGAGGGCGCCCGCGCGGCCGCCGTGGACAATGCGGCCGGGCCGCGGCTGCGGGGATGTGCGGGGATGTGCGGGGCATACGCGGCTCCGGCCCCCCCGCTCGCTCCCACCGGCCCCGCCTGCCCCGGGACGCGGGTCCGCCGCCCGGCCTGTCCCGCAGCGCTGGGAGCGGCAGGAGGGATGCTCGGGGAGAGCGCGGGGCGGTGCGGGGCGCGCACCTTCAGCACCGGGCCCTGGAGAGCAGCGCCGGCCGCGCCGCCCGGTGCCGGCAGCGTAGCTGTTCCTCCGCCGGCCCCGAGCCCCGCACAGCCCCGCCGGCCCGGGCAGGGATGCGCGGAGCCGGCGCTGCGGGAGGGGGGACCGGCCGACCCCGCACAGACCCGGGGTCACGGCGGAGCGCGGACGCGACCGAGCCGGGGCCGGCGCTGCGGGGCCGTCCGGGCGGCGCTGGGCTGCGGAGGTCGCGCTCCGCTCCCCGCACCTACCTGCGAGCCGCAGGGCCGACATCCTCTGGAACTCCGGCTCCTGCAGCCACTTCCACATCCTGCGGAACGTCTCCCGGCCGGACTTGAGTTTACTCCAAGGCTTGGGGTTCCGCAGCAAGTCCGAGAGGGTCCCCTGGGAACGGCATAGCACCCGCTGGGCGAAGATGGCCTGGGGGATGCTGTAGCGCTTCAGCTCCGCCGTGATCCTTTGTGCCACCTCCTTGGTGTTGATCTCCTCCAGCTGCCCCGCGCCGCTCCCCTGCGGGCCGTTGGCGGGGGGCGGGCGGTCGCGGCCGGGGGGCAGCGCGGGGCCGTGCGGGGGCGGCGGGCCGGGGGGCGCGGGGTGATGCGCGCCGTTCAGCGGCGGCAGCATGGTCGGGGGTGTCCCCAGCCCGCGGGGCAGCGGCTGCTCCCCCCGCGCCAGCATCGCGGCGTGCGCCTCGAAGTTGGGGCTCAGCATCTTGTCGGGGCCCGGCGGGCCGTAGCCGTGCAGGCCCTGCTGGGCGCCCGGCAGCGGGCCCAGCCCGTTGCCCAGCGGCGAGAGGCTCTGCCCCACGGCCGGCACCTCCTTGTAGGGCCCGTACAGGCTGTTCACGGCCGGCAGCCCGCGCTCGTCCCGCATCAGCGCGAAGCCGCCGCCGGCGCCGCCCGGCAGGCGCTGGTGGTGGTGGTGATGGTGGTGGGCGTGCGGGTGGGCGTGCGGGTGGTGGAACTTGTCGGAGACGGCGGAGATGGGCGGCAGGGGCTGGAGCGGCGTCAGCGTGGTGTAGGTGCCGCTCATGCCCATGCCGGGCGGCGAGGCCTCGCAGGGCACGCTCATGGCGTGGTGCAGCGGGATGGACAGCTCGGGCCGGTACTCGGCGGCGCCGTCCAGCAGCGAGGCCATGCTGGGCACCATGGTGGGCCGGGCGGCGGGGGGCAGCTCCTGGTGCGGCGGCGGCGGCGGCGGCGGGGGCGGCACCCGGAGCGGCCCCGCGCCGCGCCCGCCGTGGTGCGGGCTGGGGCTGCCCATCAGCTCCGGCTCGTGCCCCGCCGCCCCGTGCAGGCTGCCCAGCGGCTCCATCGCCAGCTCGGGGTTCATGGCGCACGCACCCGGCTCCCCGCCCAGGCACCGCCGGCCGCCGCGCCCGCTCCTCATCCGCTCATCGGGGCGGCGGCCGCCGCGGCCCGGGGCCGCCCGCGCCCCGCCGGCCCCCGCGGGCAGCAGCAGCGGCGGCTCAGCCGGGCCCGCCGCGCCGGCCCCGAGCCATGTCCTCGCCTCGCCGCCGCCGCCGCCGTCTGCGGGCGGCGGGCGATGCTCGGGCCGCCCCGCCCCGGCCGCGCCCCGGGGCCGGGCCGGTGCCCACCGGGGGGACGGGACCGCCGGTTGGGGGCGGGGCCTTGGAGCGGTCGGGCCAATGGGCGCTCTGGGCTGCCCGGGGGGCGGGGCCTCGAGCCGGGCACCGCGCGGCCCTTAAAGCTCCGCGGCCCCTTTGTGACCGCACCGGCACCGGCAGGGCACCGGCACCGGCAGGGCACCGGCACCGGCAGGGCACCGGCACCGGGGCTACTCCCGGGAGATGACTCCGCGCTCCGCGGCCTCGGTCCCGTAGCCCCGGTGCTGATCACTGCTGTTGGCTACTGGTTATTAGCTCTTAGTCGCCTCAAATGTGGCAGCAGTGGGCTCCGTGACACCGAAACGGACGCACATCACCCTGGGATCGGTGTTGTCCCACGAGCCCCCTGTCCCCGTGCCCTGTTGACACACGGCGGGGAGGTCCCGCTTACGGTGCACACACGGGCAGACGTGTCTCCCCGCTTTCCAAGGAAGGACCGGTTCTCCAGGATGCCTCCGAGCCCCCGGGGCTGGCAGGGGCAGGGCACAGCTCCGTAGGGAACGTGGGGTTGGCACAGAGGGGCAGGGAGTTATGGAAGCAGAGACACGGAGCCAGGAGGGCAGCCAAGGTGACGGTGGGAAGCTGTGCAGGCAGGTGAGGAGTGGGCAGGAATTCCCGCTAGGCGCAGGGCCCGTGGGGACAGGATCCTCCAGCACAGAGTGGCAAGTGGGGACTGACCTGCTTTGGCACAGCAGGGCACCCATGCCAAGACACGTTGGGTCGTGCCATGCCAGGCCATGCAGCTGCTCCCAGCTGTGCAATTCCCTCCACTGCTTCTCCTCACTCCTTTAATCAGTAACGCAGCGGCAGCAGCAGCCGTATCCTTGTGTTTTGTGTCATCCTTATCTCAGCCCGATAACCATCTCTGTGCTGGTGAAGGTCCCACCTCCACTGGGTCTTTCCAGTAACAAAATGGGGGGAAAACAGGGAGAAATGTCACCTTTAGGACCATCAGTTACCAGACCACTCTCCAGGAGGGCACCTGGAATTTCCTTGCAAACAGGTTATGTGTGGCAGCACCCCGTTCCCTACAGATTGGATCCAAAGGCTGATGATCTGTTTCTCTCCACGCTGCCATCGCTGTGTGTCCCTGGAGCTCACAGGCTTTTCCAAACTGCTTTTTGGCACTAACCATGCGGGTCTAAAGTGAAGCTCTCCCCACCCCAGCTACTCCTGCTGCTGTCAGCCTGTGGTGGAGAAGGAAAAAGAAAGGAAGAAGGAAAAGAAAGCCCTGGCCTGAGGTGCCTTTGTTCAGGGCAAGTTATGCGTGAAATCTTTTTGTCCCTCCTAAAGGAAGGCAAAAGTTGCAGTTGATTTGGGGAAAGAGAGGCGAGTGCGGCCCTCGGGGGGTGGAGGTGCCACCCCGGGCAGGCTGGAGGGGGGGGTAGGCAGACCCTGATGGGAATCTGGTGCCGCAGATGTGCTGGTGTCTGTGTCCTCCCTTTGCCTCTATTTTCCTCCCTTTCTCCCCTTTTCCCCCCTTTCCTTGCCTTGCCTTCCCTTCTCCTTCTTCTCCAGCAAATTCATCAGGCCTGACTTTGACTTTATCTTTCCAAACCTGCACCTGGTGGTTGCGTTCCCTGAAGATGTTTTATTACACATGGTAGTGCCTAATTCCTGTGTTTCTCCAAACTAATGTTGAAATCTTCCCGGGAATCAACCCAGCAATGTATAAATATCTGCACATGGTTTAGCTGTACCCGACATGCTGGGTCCATCCTGGCAGGGCTCTGTAGGAGGCTGCTGGGTGTCCCTGGGTGTCCCTGGAGGCAGGAGGCTGCTGGGTGTCCCTGGGCACCCCTGGAGGCAGGAGGCTGCTGGG